TGATGGCGGAACTGAGGTTCAGACAATACAAATAAAAGGGTTTTGACCAGTATCATATAACTATGTAATGCTTGCTATAAGAGTCAAGAATAGAGAAAAACGAAGATAAAGAGGTGGGGTAGGCAGTTGGGATGGGGAAGTGTAGGGGTGGGAGGGGATGAAGATGAATATTACTGTTTTGGTTGTGGAATAACTGAGAAGAGCATCTCTGCATTTAAAACCATTAGCCAAAGAGGATCTAGATGGGACGAGAAAATAATAACCAGCCAATTGGGGAGAAAATGTAGGAGTGTTAGAAGAATTAGTACCGCACTGGGGATCAGTTTGCAGGGGATCATCTGCCCTTTTTCAGCCAAAGGAATGAGAGCTCCTCTCACTGGGCAAAAGCCTTTCCAGGCTGGTCCCTGAAAGCATCGTGCGTACAGATGCCTGCTGGTTGCCATGGTGAATGATGCTGATCTGAAGAAATGAATAACATGAGCGTTAGGGGCAGCAGTGGGATTACTCAGTGTTGAGAGAAACAACACGGAAAGCCCAGAGTGGAGGAGGGAGAAGGCACCATTCTCTCAGCTTTAATCTACTCCACCTCGGAGGGCAGAGCTCTAACCAGACACGCTGTGAGCATCAGGTAAGAAATATAGATGGCTCTTCTTGGAAATGGAAATGACTTCTTTTCACACTCTGCTTGGAGAAGGGCTGGGCAATGGTAAATGTATAGTTAAAAATAGGGGAGAATTTAGAAATGGAAACAGAGGAAGAAAAATCAATAAGGGAGATAGACCTGGTCCTAAAAGCTGAGGATGCTATTTGCGTCTTGACAGAAATCTCTTAAAAATGTCTGCTGAGGTAATTCCATTTGTACAGACAGCTAGTGGCAGATAGGAAGCCAAGAGAACATTTGTGCGTGACAAGAAACAGGATTCCTGATTACTCCTGACGGAAGGGTTTTACACAGGTGGCTGCCTATGTATCATAAGTAATGAATTAGGCTCTTTTCATTGTGGTCGAAAGTGTATTTATAGGGGTGTGTGGGGTGGGGAAGATGAGTGCGTAGAGGACAAGCAAGGGAACATAAACGTTCAGTCTCCTTCATGATGACCTTCCCTGGAAGGGTCTGAGCACATCTGTCTCATCCCTTTCATTCTCCATTTATTGGGAAGAAATTTTCAGCCACATAGAAAGACACTATTCACCTTCCTGAGCATCTTAGCTCACTGTTACCCTTACAGAAGAAAAACAAGGATTGAGAAATTACTCAATGCTGTGCACCTTTCTGCAGCTCCACTCCTGGAGGAAAATGGGCAGAAACACAAGAGGATGGGGGCAAGCGGAGGAGAGAGAAAGGCAGGTCAGAATAGCCATTGGTTTGGCTTAATATCCAATGCAGGCGAAAATCCAGTTGACAGCTGTTTACTATGTCACTGCAACCCAAAATGAAACCTACTGGATTTCATGTGAGGGAGGAGGGATGGAGGACAAAGCAGGGTGAGACCTTTACGTGAATATACGTAGGCTGACTATGACTGTATCTGTATTTCTGATCGGGGAAATCAGTAGAGGGGACGGCAAGAGAGAAACTAAAATACTTGAAGATGGCTCTCTCTTATCAAAGCGGGGCCTGGCAATCTGAAGAGGGCTCATTTGATTTGTCTGGAAAAACAGCAACTGGGTCTCAGTCCTGGCACCTCATTTTGCAATAATGTCTGTAACTAAACCCGGCAGCCTTGCATTAGGAAATGTAGTGGTTAGGCAGCATTGAGTCCTTTTTCTATATATTCGCGGTGTGGCATCAGGTTGCTCATCCGTAAAATGGGAATCTAGCTCAGAGGATGTGATGAAGAATAAAGGAAATTAATTACTATCTGTGAATCATCTAGCATGACCAGTGACATAGCAACCACTTACTGTGAGTGGTTATTACCATGATTAACATTCATAATACCAGCAGAGTTAAATAGTGGTAGTTATGCTGATATTAGGGGATGATTATCTTCACTTATAAAATAAATTTCCTGGTAACGCTGGTTTTGAAAAAACAAACAAAACGGGAGAAGCTTTGGGGTGAAATCCGCTGCTAAAGAGTGATGAAGTGAATTTCCACTCACCATGGGCAACAGAACCAGAAGGCTAAAAAAAGCAGTGGGCAGAATGTTCTAGATCACTGAGTTCACAGTACTTATAGAAGAAACAGAAGGTCAGGAAGGAAAATTGAGGTCAATCAATTGCCTGAGGGGAGGTCACAGACCTGAGAATAAAGGTGGAGTCTCTGAGGTTCTACTGATTTCTCCTACTTTTTCGTCTTTTTTCTTAAGGGGATGAGAACAATGTTATTATCTGAAGGATCTTGGCTAGAGTGGGATGTGGCTGGGATTAAATGGGTTTATCTCTTTTTAGGCCTGAACTTTGGCACGGGACGGCCTTGGTTTTAACTTTTGTCCAGCCACTTTTTCGCTATGCCTAAATAACAGAACATCTAGGCCTCCATTTCTTTGTCTGTAAGATGAGGGCAATATGAGAGACCGTCTCAAATGTGCAATAAATGATGGCTATGATTATGATAAATACATACTTAAATCGGGGGATGTCACTCTTCACTTTGATTCTGGTTCTAGAATCGGGATGAACATCGAGGTGGGGAACATTTCTTATACAGGAGCCATCATCTCCTGGTCGTCCTCGGAGCCCTGCCTGGAGGACTATTACCATATTATGTATAGGCCCAACTGGAACAGCATCTTCTCTGGCTATCTTCGCTACAGCTTCCACCACGAGGAGAAGGTGCCTCGAACGATCAGCTCCGTGGTGCTGGAACATCTCGCCCCTTCCACTCTCTACTTCCTGTGCATCAGCTGTAAGAAGGCTGCCTTCCCTTACAGGCACTACTGCACCATGTTCCACACCCTGGATAAGAGTCCGCTGGCTCCTGGAAGCTCCCTGGTAGACCCCCAAATCTCCCTTTGGGTGCTGATGGCTATTCTGCTGGCCTGCTTCACAGCTGTCTTGGCCTTCATCTGCCTCCAGTTCTGGTGTGTCCGTTGCCATGAGCCGCGATGGTCTTACAGGGCTGGCCACATGGAGGAGGTCAATGGGTTGGTGAGATGGCCAGAGGAGGCCCCGGATCTTGGTCAGAGGGAGGAAGACCTGCAGGGGCTCCCCCTGGTGGAAGTGCCACGCAAGAACTCCAGAGATGAAGCTGAACTGAATCCTGAAGCCAACCAGGATGCCCCTGATGCGGGTGCCTTACAGAGGGGGGGTGGTGACCAACCCGCCATACTGCCTCATTGTGGGGAATGAGAGTGGGGAGGAGACAGCCCGCATCATGTAGCCTAAAGCTTTCCACACAGTAGGTATTTTGTACAAACATGTCTATAGGCTACCCATTTCTGTCCCATCAAATGTCATTGCTATTGTGGGTCACCTGGGTTGGATGAATGCCCCATGACAAAGCTTCTCAAGCTGGAAAATGTATCCCCCAGGGTATGCCCCCCAGGGTATGCCAAGGCACAAACAGGGCATCTCTGCAGCAGCATCCACTTGGAGGACACAGTTAAGAATTGAAATCTTTGTTTTAACATTAAAACAAACATGGATATGTTATAAAGTAGAAAACAAAAATTTGCATGACTTAAATAAAACAGCACTTGAAGGAAATGTTTGAGTTACGAGTATGCTCTGGGAGGTACACTTTTAGGCAAAGGTGGATGTCTAGTTTCCTCTGCCCTTGAGGGGATTACTTGGAAAAGTGTGAGAACCCTTGCTCTGGAGTGTTTTCCAGCTTTTAGGCAATCACACACCATCTGTCTCTGTTTTTTAAAATAATGGATTATCTTTACTATTATTAATAATACTTTTTCTCTCTTTAAATTGACTCCTTTTTTAGGTGTAAACTTATTTTCAAAGACAGCCTTATTTTACTCCATAAGTGAAAAGCCAGCACCCTCCTGCTACAAACAGAAGGGAAGAGACATAAGAATAAACATCATGAAAACAAGATAATATTAAATCTGACTTAGCTTCTATTGCCTGCCAGTGACTCTGAGCTTAATGCCCACTTGCTTGTCTTTGATAAAAAGGGAGATCCAGTGTTGGAGAGGTAATAAAGACATATTAGCACCAATATTTGTCTTTCCCTTGATATAGCATAAGGTTTGAAAGAGAATAGAAAAGGGAAGTGCTGTTTTTACTTTATGAGTCAGTGTTAGTTAAATGCCATGTCTGTGAACCACCTCAAATGCTGTCAGTCAGCTTCCCTTGATTTGAGAAAATTGTCTTGACCAGACTAGGCAGTCTGTTCTGGAGAAGATGCCTGCACTCTCCAAGCATCATCCTAAGACCTTCCCAGTGCCCTCTTATATCTATAGAGCACAAAATCCCAGAATCACAGGACGACACTGCAGTGAATCAACTGAGAAACAGCAGAAGCTGAGAAGCCAAGACGAGAAGCCGCACATCCCTATTCCCTTGCCTACCTCACGCATTCCCTGCTCAGCACCCAGTCGTGGAGGTCTGCTTTTGCCCCCATTCCTGCTACTTGTGAACAAATAAAGATTCATATACTCACAGCTGTTTCTGCCTGGATCTCATTGCTGCCTTTTTCCTTTCTCTTTAAAGATAAGAGTCTCGCCCTGTCACCCAGGCTGGAGCGAAGTGGTACAATCATGCTCCCTGCAGCATAAAACTCCTGGGCTCAAAGGATCCTCCTGCCTTAGCCTTCCAAGTAGCTGCTGGTGCATGCCGCCATGTCTGGCTAATTTTTTATTTTTTATTTTTGGTGGAGACAGGGTCTCATTATGTTTCCCAGGCTGTTCTCAAATTCCTGGTTTCAATTATCCACCGGTCTCAGACTCCTAAAGTGCTGGGATTAAAGGCAAGAGCCACTGTGCCTGACCTCATTGCTGCATTTATCTCTCCACCTTCTTACTCTTCTAATTAAGGGACACTTTTCTATGTGCTTTTTCTCACCAACCCTCTTCTAGGCAGGGTAGGGCAGGACTACTTACCTTGGATCCATAAAGGTAATAAGGCTGGACGTTGGCAGGTTTGTCTCGTTGTGGTTCTTGGGTGAAAGGAATGGCAGTCCGCACAAAACTAGTAGAAGCAAAGGGATGGGAAAGAGTTAATATGGTGCTAACATTATTCTTCATGGAACACAGATAACAGGAGTGCTTCCTGGCCAGGTGACGGTTTGCATTGGTACAAGTGCACTGTTAGGTGGTTGACTATAAATGTACTAAACTCTTCTGACATCTTCCCATTCAACTTCCCATTCAACTCCTTTCCATAGATGGGAAAACTTCAGTCTAGATTCCTGGGCTCAACCAGGAGCTTGTGGCTGCTCAGAATGACACTAGGCAAGAATAAGAGTGGGCTGGGCTTGAACATGGCTTTCTCTGGGGCTCCACTCCTCTACCACCAGTTTGGTTTCTCAAGAGCAGAGTTCAGCAAACTCTTTCTCAGAAGAGCCAGGCAGCAAATATTTTTAACTTTGGAAGCCAGATGGTCTCTGTTGCAAGTACTCAACTCTGCTGTTGCAGCATGGAAGCACCCAAGGACAATAATAAACAAATGGCATGACCAAGTTCCAATAAAACTTTATCAATTACAAATCATTTTCACTTGTCACCAAATATTATTCTTCCTTGGATTTCTTCCCCTCAACCACCCAAAAGTATGAATACTATTCTCAGCTCATGGGCTTTACAAAAACAGTCAGCAACTAGATGTAGTCTGTGAGTCACAGTTTGCTGCTCCCTGCTCAAGAGTGTTAAAACTCCTATATCTTTATAGAACTGGAAATCTATCTCGCTTAGTGTGTGGATTCAGGTACATTTGTGGATATCTCCCATACCCTTCCATTCATTCAACACATACTCATTTAATACTGGCCCTCAGCCAAGGCTTGGAGATACCTAGAAGAACTGCAGATTAATACATTTTTTTGCATCCTTACATACTTATTTTGTATGTGAATATATATGCCTTACCTCTTCCACCAGGTTATGAAACTTTCCGGGGATAAAGAAATTAGGTCTTGGCTCTACCTCAGTGCCTGGCCCAGGGCTGTGTGCACCTTGCAGGAGGCAAGTTCCACTTTGTCATGTGTATTTGTGCTCTGCAAATGTATGCAGTTTTGCATGCATGCTTTCAGATATGTGAATATCCTTACAAACATACAATCTGATCATGTCGTCTCTTTTCCTCAAACTCTTTCAGGGTTAATAAAAATGCACGATCCTGCCCTGGCCTCTAGAGTACTGCACAATCTGTTCCCGCGTTATCTTTCATGGCACCATTTCCCACCCAACTAGTTTTACCCTCATCAACCTCTTGGAGAAACCCTTAGAAACTTGTCTGGAATATTCTTCTCCTGCCTTTTTGCCCTTATTTATTCCTACTCATCCTTTGCATCTTAACTCCAGCACTATTTCCTTAAAGAGGCAGCTTCCCTTGAGGTTTGCATGACTTTTTGGACTGGAACAGGTGGTGCTGTTACCTCTGTCATGGCCCTGTGGGCTTTCCTTCATCTCCTTATTCACTATTTGTAATGGTACATTTGTCGTGTGATTATTTGACCACTTACATCCTCCTCTAGTCTGAAGACTCGAGACAGGAAGGTATTTGCTCACCATGGCATGCCCCATGTTTTACTGGAGCAGTAGAACACCAAATGGGCAACTTCAGAGTAGTAGTAGAAAGAGCTCTTCAATGAATGAAGCCTAATTGTTAACAACATTCAACTGTCAATCAGCTCTGTGACCTCAGACAAGTGACAGAGCACAGAGCCTGTGCCCAGGAGGGGGTCTGAGAGACTCCTGTTGCAGGAACCACTCACATGTGTACCGGGTCTAGCTTGGAGGAGGCAGCTGGTCACTCCCCCAACCCCCACCCAGCCCCCTCTGCACAGGGATTCCCTTACCGGTTCGTGGACCCATTGTAGCAGTAGTTGGGGAGAAAGTCAAAGTTCAGTTCCCAGAAGACATGCAGGGTGATACGGCCATAGGGGGCAGACACATTGTGATTGGCCTCCCGGAACATGGCATCAAAGCTGTCCAGCGTCATGTGCTTACAAAGCAGCCGGTGTGTGAGCCGGTTAATCTCCAGCAGCCACTCCAGCTCCTGTCCAGAGAGAGAACCCACAACTGCTGAGGAATTGCTTGTAAGGATTACATGTGTGCTTTATCTTACTGCTTCTGTTCATGCAAGTGGCAGCTGCTCAGACAACCTCCTGACCATCTACATGGCAACCAGGTCCCCTGCAGTAGCAAGTGACAAGGTTCCCTTCTTCTGAGAACTGGAAGGATTGTCAGACTACGCTGAGAGAAATGGAGGCCCAGAGGGTTAAGGGCAAGGTTGGGGAAAGGAGACTGCATGCCTATCCCGTGGAAGGAGACCACGGACCATGTGCAAATCCCCTTTGGGTAGAGGACAAGCTTACTAGATTTCCAGTTTCTATATCGATGAGAAAAAAGCAATACTAAGTGCTACCACTCATTAAGGGTTTACTATCAGGTTGAACCCTATGACGTTACTGGTTTTTTAGGTTACTGGCAATTTTGTCTGGTTCAACCAAATCAGTATGTGCCAGTTTTATATGCGTCAACTCATTTAATGCTTATCAAACTCTATGAGGTCAGTATTGCTGCTGTTCTTATTTTACATGTATGGAAATCGAGGCTTTGAGAAGTAAAGTAACTTGGCTTCAAATCCAGGAAACTGGGCTCCAAAGTGCACATTCTTAACCACTATATACTTTAACTGCTATAGAAATTATAAAAAAAGGTGGGAGCAGAATGCCTCATCCTTTGGAGTGTAGGTCCCTTGAGGTATCACATGGGGTCGGCAAAGGCGTGGCTACAAGCCATGGGCAAGCAGTCTGTAGTCAGCGCATGATGACTGGGATCCATGCGCACTGTGGGCCCTGAACAAAGGAATCCCATCTTCAGGCAAAGTGGGACAGAGTAACATTGAATCCCAGCAGGACAGGGCATTTGCTGGGAAATGAAGGAAAAGTGTAACTCTTCCAACACGCTTTGGTCCCTCATTGTCCTGCAACTTCCCGCCATTGCTATCAAAAGGAACCAAAGTACAGCCTTGTGTAGAGACAGAAAGCACCTTAGGCCACTCCTGTGTTGTTTTGGTTAAGCCATCTTTTAAGATCGGTACAATGGTCCCTCATTCAGAGAGGGGAAATGGAGGCCCTGAAGGTTAAGCAACTTGCCCAAGGTCACCATAATAGGCCTTAGGATGTGAATCCAAGTCTCCTTATTCCATATCATGTGTTCTTGGCTCCTGTGATGCAGTTCCCCGGAATAAGGATGCAAGAGCTGTGAAAGTTCTTTCAAAGACAAAGATAGCTTTACAACATAAAGGCTAAAAGAACATCAGCAAGGCCAATTCATCAGAGCATGACCAGGTGGGATGACCATGGGGTCTGCTGTAATGGCTGGAATATGTCCACAGGAGGCAGCCTCATGCCAGGGATTCAATTTCATTCTCATTAGCCACAAAGACCTCCAGATGGAGACCAGAGTATGGTCAGGTGGAGATCCCAGGCTAGGCTTCCAATTTTTGGAGCTCTGCCTCTCTGAAACTCAGATTTTGTGACTCTAAATTGAAGTGGGCAGAAATGGTTGAAGGCTTGCCAACATACACAGCTAAAGAGACCAGACAGGTCAGGTAAGTGAGATCAACTGGGGTGAACAGAAAGTTTGGGGAGTGAGTCCGTCTATGGCACATTGGAGGGCCCTGCCCAGGTAAAGGTGGAGCTACCACTTCTGATACCCTGTCTGACTGCTGCCATGCTGGAGTGGGGGATTAGTGATGGCAAATCCTGCAATTTTTCAAAAGAAGATCAGAATTTCAATTCTGGAACAGCATCGGCAGAGTAAGTTTCCAGTCATTGTGTACCATGAAGTAAATGAAGGGCAGAAATACAGAATCAGCTTGTCTCCTGGGGGCCTGGCTAGCTGGAATATGTCTTTATTCTGATTCACTTAGGATGGGTACTAAAGAAATAAAAAATACATGGAGTAAGCACTACTCAATTTATTTCTAAGATCGCTGAGTCCCCTGGCACACTGCAGTGCCTGTTACTGGGAAGACAACTGAGAAGCTGTGGAACAAAATTCTGCATTATCGTTCTGTGACTTTAGCAGTCTTATAACACACATCCGTGTTCACAAGGGAGACCGAAGGAGAGGCAGATCCACTGAACCGCAGGTCCACTTCTCCCTGCACATTATGTAACTCAGACGATGTTTCTGCAACACATTTTGGATTTGTTCTTCTGGCCTTGAAACCAGAAGAGGGCATGTGCCAGCTGGATGCAGGGCTCAATGCACCAAAGTGTGGAAAAGGCTTAAAAAGCCATGTGGGCAGTTTAGGGGTCTCCTAAGAGGATGACAGCTTTCCACAGTAAGGCTGATTTACTAAAGGGCAACACAGAGAAACAGAACCGGGGCAGTAAAACACCCAAATGGGCAACTTCAGAGTAGTGGGAGAAAGAGCTCTTCAGTGAAAGAAGACCTGACTGTTAACTACATTCAACTGTCAATCAGCTCTGTGACCTCTGGCAAGTGAGCGAGCCAAGGTCTCAAACTCAGCACAGTGAAGCCTGGTAGGTCACACACATAAACGAAGCCTGCCAGTGGGGCTGTGGCAAGCTGAAGAAAGTGTAACCCATCTCACAGGAACTTCTAGTCATTTCTGGGCAATCGTTACCATCTGGGAATGCTGGTCTGGCACTGCCAGAGCTTCTGCATTTTTATTGGAATTCTTCACAATGTTAAATGTTGGCTCAAAATTACGAATGTATTATGCCGCCTAAACAAAACAGCCTGCGGGCTGCCCGTTTTCAACTTCAGCATCGGCTCTTGCTGAGACTCTGTTTGCTCAGCCGTGTAAAATGAGGGTGACTAACTCCCCAAATCTTTACAACCTCTCCCAACTCAGAATCAAGCTGTCTCCCTATCTCGGAATGGAGTTTTTCAGGTGGAGGGAAAGGCAGAGGGGAGCGCACTCCTCATTTTGTTTCTTGGAGGAGGTAGAAGCTTCTCAGCCAGGGCGAGCAGGGGCCATCCTGATCCACCGGGAGAGTGCTTCCCTGAGGTCTCTTCATGGGCTTCCCAGGAACGGGTGTTCTCCGGGGAGCCATTGCCCTCGCCTGATAAACAAGGGCTTTTCACTGCTTGTTTTGATTTTGTTCTCAGCCAAAAGAACATTTAGTGCTTTCAAACAGGTGGGAAGAGGCCATGGAGACACATATATCCCAAATCTTTTTTTTTCATAAGATATGCTCATTATTGGAAAACTAGAAGATACAGATAAACAAAAAAGAAAAAAAAATCCCACCACTTGGAGCTCATCACTGCTAACCATTTGGCATAAAGAATAACTCTGTTTCTCAAAATAGAGATGAACAGATGATTTCTCAGCAAAGTGCGTGCTGTGCTACAGTCTCTTGAAGTAAGTGACCCAGGACTAAGGAGGGTGGTTAGGGCAGGCCCTAAGAAATGCTGTTGAAAATTCACCCAAAATCATTGCATTGCAGCCCCAAATTTATTTTTCTCTCATCTTTTTTCCATAAGCTATTATTTCTTAAGTGCTAACTATGTATACAAAGGACTCTTGGGAGGCTGAGGCAGGTAGATCACAAGGTCAGGAGTTCGAGACCAGCCTGGCCAACATGGTGAAACCCCATCTCTACTAAAAATACAAAAATTAGGCTGGACTGGTGGCATATGCCTATAGTCCCAGCTACTCAGTAGGCTGAGGCAAGAGAATTGCTTGAATCTGGGAGGCGGAGGTTGCAGTGAGCTGAGATCACGCCACTGCACTCTAGCCCAGGCAACAGAGCAAGACTCCCCGTCTCAAAAGAAAACAAAACAAAAGAAACAAACAAACAAACTCTGCAAAGCTCTTTCCAGGTAGTTATCTCATTTTATCCCCACAGTAACCCTAAGAGGTGGATTCTGATATTCCCTCCATTTCTACAGACAAGGAAACAGACTTGGAGAAGCTGAGTAACTTGCACAAGATCACGCAGCTAGTAAGTAGCAGGGTGAGGACTGGGACTGCAGGTATGATGCTAGAGTCCTAGTTCATTGCCACTTTATTTTTTACCACTGTGTCCACTTAAAATAAAACCCAACTTTATTTAAAAATAATTTTGGACTCATAGAAAAGTTGTAAAAACAGCATACCCTGCGTATCCTTGACCCGGCTTCCCCACTGTTAACCTCTGGCAGAACCACAGTACAATTATCAAATGAAGGAAATTAACGTTGGTACAACACTATTAGCTGAATGACAGGCTTTATTCAGGTTTCACCAGTTTTCCCACTGAAGTCCTTTTTCTGTTCTAAGATTCAATCTAGGATTCCATGTTGCATTTAGTTGTCATGTTCCCTTATTCTTTCGTAATTTGTAACAGTTTTCACTCTTTCCTGTCTCTCAAGACCCGCACACTTTTGAAAAATATCATCCACTTTTTTTTTAGAATGGCACTCGATTTGGGTTCATCTGATGTTTTCTCAAAATTAGATTGAGATTGTGCATTTCGGCAAGAATATATGATGACAACAATAATGTTTTACTGGTGATATTAACTTTTGGTTAAGATGGTGTCTGCTAATTTTCTTCATTGTAGAGTCATTCTTCCCTTTGTAATTAATAAGTATCTTGGGGGAGGTACTTTGAGACTATGCAAGTATCCTGTTTCTTCTCAAAGATTTTTTGGTTTAAAAAAATTTTTTATTGTGGTAAGATGCACTTAAAATTGAACATTTTAATGATTTTTAGGTGTACCGTGGCATTAAGTACATTCACATTGTTGTGCAACTATCAGCACCATCCTTTTCTAGAATTGAAACTCACCTTCTCCAACTGAAACTCTGGATCCATCAAACACCATCTTCCTCTTTCCTGGCAACCACCATCCTACATTATGTCTCCATGAATTTGCCTACTGTAGGAACCTCATATAAGAGAAATCATGCAGTATTTTTCTCAAAGTTCTGCCCACTTATTTTAGCAACCATTGACAGATCTTGCCTACAATTTTTATTATGTTCTAATGGTGATTTTCCATTTCCCAGTCCTACTGTTCATCTGCTTTTGAAAGCACTGAAATCTTCCTTTGATTCACTGAAAGGATAACCAGTCAAGTTTACTCTAACTCTTGAAGAGAGAGAATTAGCAGAGAGTTGTTTAAATTGCTGTTTTCTGGGGGAAAGGAGTAGGCCTATTCCAGGCTTGTGCATCAGAACCAGTTACACAATCTACAAGGTACAATGTTTAATAAAAATGTGGGGCCCCCTTGTTTCAGAATTTCAAGATGGTGACAGCAGAGCAGTAAACCAGCTGCAAAGCCCTTCTGGGCCTTATACTACTGCACACCCGTGAAGCCAACCCTCTTGTGCAATTTTCCCTAGCTTCTTAGGACCATTTACCTACTTGCTCAGCCTGCAGGATCCTAAGGACATGCAGCTGTGTCTGAGGGTTGGCCATCTCTAGAAATCTCAAGGAGACCCCCTCCGCTCTGTCATTCCCAAGGCAATCAGGAACGTAAGATTATTCTTATTCTGTGTAAGTTTTTATTTCTCAGCTCCATTCAGATGGGAAAGAGACTCACTGCCCCTCTTTAACTGGCCCATCACTAGACTAACTACAGTCCCCATCTAGGCTTCTAGTCTGAGAAATCCCAGAGCAGAAATCCCACACACTCCCAGACTCTTACCACAATGGAGGTCAGATCCTCACTCTCAAAGCGGCTGATAGCCTGGTCCAAGGATTTATACATGGCAGCAGAGATGCGCTGGGTAATGAGTCTGTTCAAGTCAATTGATCTACCCAACAGCTGGATGAAGAGAGAGAGAGAAAAGTTACTTAAAATTCACAGTGGCCGGGTGCAGTGGCTCATGCCTATAATCCCAGCGCTTTGGGGGACCAAGGTGGGAGTAAGACTGCTAGGTGGGAGGGGTTTCCTGAAGAAACTCCAACCAGCCTGTCCATTGAGGTAAAGGCTTGGGAAGTTTATGATGTTTCCAGCAGGGAGGAGCCCGGCCCCTCCTCTTCCTGTGTGGAACCTGGGATTCCAACGGCCTGGCAGGAAGTTCTCTAGCTGAGGGACTCTGGCCTTGTGAAAGTCCCTGTTTCCCCCCTTTTTTTTTCCCCTTTTCACCCAATAAAACCCTGCTTTACCCACTCTTTATACAGTCTGCAAGCCTCAGTTTTCATGGTCGTGGGACAGACAATAACCCCATCTTTAGCTGAACTGAGAAGAAGTCCTGCAACAGGAGGATAGCTTGAGCCCAGGAGTTTGACACCAGCATGGGCAACATAGTGAGACCCAATCTCTACAAAAAATAAAAAATATTAGCCAGGTGTGGTGGTGTACATCTGTAGTCCTAGCTACTTGGGAGGCTGGAAGTGGGAAGAGAGCTTGAGCCCAAGAGTTTGCGGCTACAGTGAGCTATGATTGCACCACTGCACTCCAGCCTGAGCGAGAGAGAGAGACCCTATGTCTCAAAAACAAATAAAGGTTCTCACTGACACCTGACGAGTATGTGCATGCACTGATAGGAAACTGGATTAAAATTACAAAGGACATAACTGGGACAAATGGGAACTGTATTTAGAAAGCAGTATTGTTAAATTTCCTGAGTATCATCATTCTATTCTGTTTTTATAAGAGAATGTCCTTGTTCTTAGGAGATACAGGCTGAAGCATTCAGGGGTGAGATGTCATGATTTGGCAACTTAAACTCTCAAATGGTTAAGAACAAAAGTATGTACATTCATCACACACACACAAACACACTGTACAAGTGCTAGAGAGAACATACATACATGAGAGAGAGAATGTGAACTAAATATGGTAAAACATAAATAATTGCAAATCTGGCTACAGGATAATAAGTGCTCATCGTATTATTCTTTCAACTTCTCTGTAGGCTTGAAATACAGGAAGTTTAGGAAAAATACGATTCACTCAGGCTGTGGGAAGAGGTTCAGGATATGCTCTGGCTTCCCATAAATGTTTCTGCTGACATCCTAAATTTAGCCCTGAGGTGCTTCCTGCATCTTTCCTGTGCTCAATTCAGTCACCAGGGCACAGCAGCCGCCTCAGCAAGGGCCCACTTTGTGCCTTCATGAGGGAAAATTTAAAAGCAAGAGGATGAAGGTCTGATTACAGCATGGAAAATACAGCTTAAGGTACTTTCCACTGGGGTACATGCGGGCACCACTGCAGCTGCTATGTAGATAGCAATGAACATTTGTCGAGTACCTGCTGTGTCCACAGCACTTTACTAGGTGTCAAATGATTATTCTTAACTATTTTATTTTTCAACTTCTCTTTTGGCATAAATTTTCTACCAACTGACTAGGGCCCCTTATAGCCATCTTATGCACACATAAAGCCCTCAGTATTTAATATCCTGTGGCTAATTCTGACTGCATTGTAACTGATAGCAGTAATCTTCTGAGAGGTTGAAAGAAAAGCTCTCATTGAGCCCCTGCTGTTGACAGAAGTACAAATTCTATTCCCTGCCCCCTCCCCCGCCCCGTTTAATGAGTCTCCATTTCCTTGGATTTCTCATCGCAACGGGAATGTCCAGGGTCTCTGAGATGAATTCTTTCCTTTTCACCTCTGGCATGGGCTTAGCCTCAGCCTGGCCCTTTCACAAAGATCAGGACCACATAATAAGCACACAGACATCACAGCATAAAGGCCATTTTGCCACCCACTTGGCCAACAGCAGGGCTCTGGGAGGAGGGCTCGCCATCTGCTGGGGCATCTCTTATGCCGTCTGTCTGCCTCACATTAACTTTGTTAAGTGGGGATGTTTCTCAGTTCCCAGCAACATTTCCTCTATATCTAGGGTCAAATGTTAATAGAAACCAACTCTGCACAGACACACAAAACAATTTCTACCGTGGATTTGCCCTGACATGCTTTCGTTTCAAAGGTGCCACAGTCTTCCTCACTTAGACCGGCACTTGGGCCCTGTTCAGGGACAGATTTACCCATCTCTGAGTGGCATCCCAACTGGAAAAAGTGGGCTGCAGCTTATGATGAGAAGACGAAGGCTTTGGTTGCCATAACTTGTCAGAGGTCAGCTATAGACGGGTGGATAAGCCCAGAACCTGAGCCAAAGGAAGCCCAAAGCCTCTTTATTGTTTATGAGATCCTGAGGCTGTGCTACACCCAGGCTCAGAAACCCGCACTGGCAACACGCCAGGAAGACAGTACCCAGGCCTGATTCCTGATCTCTAGGCTGACTTCACAGCTGCTCTCTCCTGCCCCTTCCATCTCCATGGTGGCTTCCGCTCCCCATACCTGGACGTGTCTCTGTTTCAGCAGTGTTTCATAGCGATTGGACGGTGGATAAGGAATGATGACGCCATAATTCTTACACTCAGCTCGAAAACGTTTATCCAACAGGACACTGGAAGGAATAAAAGTGAAACAAGGCCAGTAAACAGACAGTGAATGACTCTCAACTGCCCAGATACTTCTATTTCAGATCATAGAATCTACCCACAGAGCACTATCTTATATAAGATATATATCTTATATCTTATATATCTTAAGCAAAATTGTTTTCTGCTCTAGATAAGTTACTTCAAATTTCTTTTCAGTCACAGAAGCTCAATATGTGAAACAGAGTTTCTAAGTTAAACATGGGCAACACTGAACTTGGGCCACTTTCCTCTTTTATTCATTTACCACAGAAGCAATTGAGTGCTTGCTTGATGTATCCCAGGAAACATTCTGGGTACTGGGAATACAAAGTGCCTGTCCTCATGGAGCTCATATTCGAATGAGGAAAGACTGATAAACACAAACAGAGGAATGAAATAATTTCAGATAATTGGTAATAGTTGCATAGTGTTTATTATTTCCCAGGCACTTTAAACACACACATACAAACACACGTCATTTTAAATCTCTCCACAACCCTATGAGCTGGGAGTGTTACTATCTTTCACACTGAGGCGTGGATTGCAGAGGAGCAAGTGCTTTGAAAATAAGAAAATGGGATCATTTGGAGTTAGGAAGTCAGGCAAAGTCTCTCTAAAGAAGTTTTGCTAAATGGAGGCCTGAATGATAAAATCGGAAAGATCTAGGGGAGCACTATCATTGACACTGTAAGCTTGGGTACGTTTGAGAAAAGGAAAGATGGCCAGTGTGGATAAAGTACAGTGCAGGTTGCACAGCATGGTGCAAAATGAATTTATAACATTAGACCAGGGCCAAACCAGGTAGGGCCACACAGATCCTAGTAAAGAGGCTAGGTGCATTCTAGACATAACTAAAAGCCACCTAAAGGTTTTGTGCAAGAAAGAGACATCATCTAAATCTACACTGTCCAAAGTAGTAGCCACCAGCCACACGTGCCTACTGAACACTTGAGATGCGGCTGGTCCAAACTGAGATGGGCTGTAAAACACAGGATTTTGAGGACTTAGAAGAAAAGAATGAAAAATCTCTAATAATTCCTATATTGAGTATATGTCAAAATTATAATGTTTTGGATATGTGGGGTTAAATATATTATTAAAATTAATTTCACCTGCTTCTTTTTCCTTTTTAAAATACCTCTACTAAAAAATTTAAAGTAACATCTCTGGCTCACATTTGTGGCCGCGTGGCGTTTCGAATGAACAGGATTGACCTAGCTCATGGTTTTCCTCCTGGACTTTCTCCGAATCTCTCAACCTCCTCAACTTCCCACACTTTCAAAAATCACTGATCTTACAGGGAAGGGTGTAGATAAAAGCCCATAAGTTAGACAAAGGAAGACCCAGGGTTTGACACGCCTGAGTCTGTTTCTGTAGATGATGGAACAGTGTATTTGGAATCAGAATTGTCTTACAGGAGCCAGAAACCCAACTCACTGTTAGAACCACATCCCATTCAATCCACAGATACGTACTGACTACTCTGTGAAAGGCTGTGTTCTCTGCTTTCCTTGAAATCCTACATGCATGCTTTCTATACTTTCCAGCCTTTAAGAGTCCCATTATTTAATGCACATGCTATGTTAACAGAAACTTGTGTGTGCTGCACATCAACTCCTATTTGAAATATATCAGGGCTACTTTGGCTGTTAAAAGCAAAATGAAGCAAATCCTTTTCATAGAGAAATTATTAAAGTAAGGAACTATCCTTGAAATTACTGGTTGGTATGTTTGGATTTCCAATAAGAATGGAAATACCCATATATAAATTTGAGGTTTTCCTTGATCAGTGCTGTTACAGGTTCTTGAAAACCAAGAACTCACGAGGGTTTGAACCAACATATAGTGGCAATACCAAGGAGCCTCTAAGCCTGATACATCTCTGATCCAGACTTCTTCACTGGCCTCCTGTCTGGTTTGCACACACCCATTCTTCTCCAATTCATTCTCCGTACATTTATATTTTTAAGAGAGTAAACTTTCACAAGTAAATAAAAATCGAATCGGGTCACTGTTGTACTTTTGAAACCATTCGGAGTCATTCCACTCCTGGGAGAAACAGCCACAAAGCCGGCGTGCTCTGGCCCTGCCCACCTCCCCAGCCTTAGCAGGCAGCCTGCCCCCTCTAGTGGTGGTGAAGAGACACTGACACGCATTAATCCACAGGAATCCTCCCACAGCCCTGTGAGGTTGGCAGCTGTTATCATTATACTCCCGCCACAGGGACCTTGCACAAGCAGTTCCGTTTGCCTGCAACTTCCTGCCACATCCTTCACCTCCTTTTACTTTCTTCACTCCTACCAACTTCAGATAAGAACTCAGATGCCACTTCCACAAGATGGCCTTTCTAGTTCCCCACCCCCAAAGGTTTAACCGTCGTACGTTCCCATGAGCTTTTCCCTCACAGAGAGCGTGTAACCTCCTTGTCACTGTGCACTCATCGCTTTTAGTCAATGTCTGTCTTTCCTGCTAGACTGCAGTCTGTGTGAGGTGAGCCCTCTATTTGTTTAGTTTCCTTTCCACTCTATTTCAGCACCCAGTCTGGGCCTGTGGAATGGCTCTGTTTTCCTCAGAGGCTAAAGAAGAAGGGAGGTTTCACGACAGAAAATCACATCTTCCAGGTGGCAGTCTTAAGAGATTGCTACTCACAGCTCTGGGGCTTTCCTACCTGCCGGCCATGGCTTTGTAGTAAGCAAAGATCTGGTCTGCCAGCTTGTAGACAAACTGATCAAAACACAGGTTCACCTGGTGGAGAGGAAGCAGGAACATCACTGGTGCCCGTTCAGCTTAATCACAGAAACTGAGCCAACTGAAAGGGCAGTCGGCCAGGACTGCCCAAAGTGCATTCTGGGGAAAGATGCTTTGAAGGGGAAAAAGAAGATTCTGTGGCTAAGTTTGGGAGGTTTGGTCCCTTGCTCTCAGGGTCCTCAGTCAGTCAACAGACAAGGCAAAGTTCAAAAAGGAACCAACCTCCCCACGGCCCCCCTCCTCAGCTGTTTTGAGGCTGCCTGCCTGGAGGGATGCAACAGACCGTCAGAACCCGTCAGTGCTCGAATCTGTCTGCTAACTCGGCAGCCTCCCCATCTATCTCTTCTGATAGACGTTATTTTTCATTGTATTTTACTTTGCTTTGCAATTTTTTTTTTTTTTTTTTTTTTTTGAGACGGAGTCTTGCTCTGTCGCCCAGGCTGGAGTGCAGTGGCACAATCTCGGCTCACTGCAAGCTCCGCCTCCCGGGTTCACACCATTCTCCTGCCTCAGCCTCTCGAGTAGCTGGGACTACAGGCGCCCACCACCACGCCCGGCTAATTTTTTGTATTTTTTTTTTTTTTTTTTAAGACAGAGACTCCCTCGACAAGTCGCCTAGGCTGGAGTGCAGTGGTGTGATCTCGGCTCACTGCAACCTTCACTTCCTGGGTTCAAGCGATTCTCCTGCTTCAGCGTCCCAAGTAGCTGGGATTACAGGCACCCACCACCATGCCCAGCTAATTTTTTTATTTTTAGTAAAGACGGAGTTTTACCATATTGGCCAGGCTGGTCTCAAACTTCTGACCTCAGGTGATCCACCCACTTTGGCCTCCCAAAGTGCTGGGATTACAGGCATGAGCCACCACACCTGGCCACAAATTTGTTTATGAAGTTGATAGTCACATTTCAAAGCGCCTTCCTTCCAACTTTGCTTACGTAGCTTTGGTTTTTAATGAAGAAAGCATTGACATTTCAGGGTCTCATCATCAGTGACAGACTGTGATGCTCAGGTGGGAAGATAATTCACACCAGACACAGAGAATCAAACCAAATATTCCAAAAATAGCAAGAGCAGGACATGACTATGAGATGGGGCAAAGGCAGTAGCTAGGTAAGAGTCAAAGGAAACAGATCCTATTTACTGTCAGATTTAGTATTTTAAGTCTTTCATGTTTAATATTTACGTGATTAACCTTTGATCCTTTCTCACCAGACCCTTGGCTCCATAAGGTTAATGATTCAAAAAGCTTTCAGATCTTTCATCTAACACCCTACGTGGTATGCAGAACACAAAACTCCAGCGCTGTATTTAGTGCTTTCCTCAGACCTAGGTCACTGAGGCCGCTGCCCTGCACTTTGAGCTTCAAGGGTCATCAGTAGACCTCCCTCCAGGCAAAGAATCCATAGGGTCAAGGTGGGCGTGTGCACTCAGGCCCCATTCTCCCCTTCTAGAACCAGCTCTGAGAAGCCTTCTACAGGCAGCTCAAGCCTCTTCCAGGGCCACGTGCTCTCTTCTCTGGCCTCCCCTCTGAGGATGGACTGCACTACGGGTGTGTGTGACCATAGGTTTTAGGTCTGGCTGAGGGTCACTGTTTTTGAGCAGAGTTGACAGGCAGAGCTTGGGTATTTACACACATGCACACGAAACCTTTCATGGTGCAGCACAGAGTTTGTGGGTGGGAAGAGAAAGGCAGCAGGTCCTGAGCTGGGTGTCTCAGTTTGTACTTCTGCCCTCAAAGGTTACACGGGCCTTCTGATGGCCATGATTACAGAGATTCCTCTCCTAGAACAAGTCACTGATACTCCTACTTCATGCTAATAGCAAAAGACTGGAAAAGTCCAGAATTTGGAACAAGATTAAAGGAGCAAAAAGAGAAGCACGTCACTTGCCTCAGCTTCGATCTCATCATACAGGAACTGCTTTTTAAACTTGGTCAGAGCATAGTAGGCGCTGTCGTTGTACAGATCCAAAGGGTAGAGGACATACCTGAAGAGGGAAAAACACAGCCAGCCGCTTACTAATAACCTCCCTTAAGGAAGACAGTTTTATACTTGCTTGCGAAATAGAAACAAGTTCAGAGTCAGGAAAAGACCATCTTTCAGCCCTCTCTGATGTTCCCAGAGCCTCCACCGCTTAGGAGCAACTTACTTCACAGTCAGCCCAAAGAAATAAGAAGTCCAAGATGCAAATAAAACCAGGACTTGTAAACATGTATCTGGGACTAAAAGACATCAGGTGGCAGTTAAGAATACGAGCTTCCTGCTCCTGAGATTACTCTTTTCTGAGCATAGCTGTTATGAGGCTGACGAAGCATAGGAAGGGCAGCTGGCCTGGGAAACTTCAGAATTTATCTGCAAGGCTGAATTAAATGATTCTGTCTGGCTGAGCTTTCTCCGTGGTGGGGCACATGGCCTCATTTCTTGTCAACTCAGTGCTTCCTTCTGGAAAGAACGGAGCTCCCTGGTAAACTGCCCTCCACTTGCACCCCAGGAGCCAACTGCTGGCCCAATCCTGCCTCTTACTCCATCATGGAAGGTTCTTTGGTTTCCAGGATATGGTCCGTTAGAATCCAGGGCATGGACATCTCGATGGGGAACTGGATTCGTCGGCCCATGGTTAACTCCAGGAAGAATTCTCGGAACCAGAGCTGGGAGAGGTCGCAACACTGCTGCAGGGCTTCTGAAAGCATAAGGGAATGAGCCTTGGGTTACTCTCAGCACTGAAAGACCTTAGTTCTCATTGTTTTTATTAATTTTCATTGTTATTGTCACTGTGTTAGGTATGTAGCAGGTACTAATATTGATTAGTAGGATCCTGCTCTCTTTTACTTAAAGGCAAGCCTAATATGTACTTGGAAAATAGCATTTCTTAAGCTTAAGCGGCAGTGGTTGTGGGCTGGCGGGGGAGAAGAGGAGGCAGTGATGTTTTAGAGCTTTAGATGCCCCTATAGTTCCCATCACCCTCCTACAAAGTCATCCTGAAAACCTGCAACCTAAACTTGAAAAGTACGCTCATGGCTGGGCACAGCGGCTCATGCCTATAATACCAGCACTTTGGGAGGCTGAGGCAGGCAGATCACTTGAGGTCAGGAGTTTGAGCCCAGCCTGGCCAACATGGTGAAATCCCGTCTCTACTGAAAATACAAAAAAAAAAAAAAAAAAAAAAAAAAAAAAAATTAGCCAGGCATAGTGGTGCATGCCTGTAATCCCAGCTACTCAGGAGGCTGAAGCAGAATTGTTTGAACCTGGGTGGCAGAGGTTGCAGTGAGGTAAGATCACACCACTGCACTCCAGCCTGAACCTGGGAAGCAGAGGTTGTGGTGAGCTGAGATAGTGCCACTGCACTCCAACCTGGGCAACAGAGCAAGACTCTGTCTCAAAAAACCAAACAAAACAAAAGTGTGTTCATTACACAAATACAGTGTCAGTGTCAAGATAGGCCCCCAAGTGCCCACTTTCAATTGGATTGTGGCTCCTTGACTTCTTGTGTGTGTTACTTCTTAGATCCCATACAGTTTAGAGGCCTTGAAGGCCCTTCCCAGGCTACTCTCTAATGGAGAAGAATGTACTGTTTGTTACAGTCATCACTCTCTTCAATCCCAGCAGACATACGAAGACTCACATCCCTGAGATACTACTCTTCCTCTGCCCTAGACATACATCTTACTAAAAGGAGAAGAAGTGTGAAGAACACAGGACTGGGATGCAGCTCGAGAGCCTCCCCTGCTGGCAGCAGCAAGTACTACTTAGCGCTCGGCTGCGGCTGAGTAGCAAGTCGAGCATCCTGTGTCTGTATGTGCATATTCTTGTTTTTGATCCCTCTCTACTAAGGACTTTATGACAAATTAGCCACAGGTATCTCCCAGACACATTTAGCTAGGTCAGAATAGCTGAGTTGAACCTGGCCTTTCCCAGCTCCAAAAGCCCACTGGAAAGTGTGTGTGTTTTCCTTGGCGGTGATATGTGCCCCTTAGGGTCAACGATCACGTCCCTTTGCCACGCCTGGCTTGGTGGTCTTAGTGGCTCTGAGACCTTCGTCCCCTCCCTCCATGCCTTAGCAGGGATGGGATGCAGCTCACCACTGATGTTGAGCAGATGTGTGAAGAAGAAGGACTGTTTGTGAAAGTCCTCTATGGCGAGGACAATGGGTCCGTCGAGGCTGCTCCTCAGGGTCTTCTTGGAGCCGCTTTTGTCTGCAATGAGTGATTCAAGCATGGTCCGCACCATGTACAGCTTGAAAAAGAAGGCAAGATGAGGTGGTCAGAAGCTGGCCCTCTACCCCAGGGGAAAAGGTTGCTTCGTGTTGTATTTATGTATTTATTCTTTTCTGCAGATGTCTGCTCTTAAAAAGCATTGTCCTAAGGAAGCACCAGTTTAGGGTTTGAGAAGTAAATGTGGAACTGTGAAAACCTTCATGGCCAACCCGGGCCCCGTGGCATCCCTGGGCCGGTGGACCTGGCCACAGCAGGTGGCTCCCTGCTCTGCTTGGCCAAGGGTGTGTATATCAGAGGAGAACCTCATTACGTGTCACCCTGGAGTCACTCCCTGTTTTCCCAGAGGGCCACAGATGCCATGCGCGGAGCACTGGACTGGGAGTCAAAAGACCGGGGTTCAAGGCCAGGCACTGCTGCTGATTTGCTGTGTGACCTTAGGCAACAAAGCCCCCACTCTGGGCCTCAGTTGTCTCATGTAACATGAGGGGGTTGGACCAGATGCCTTCTCACACCAGTCCCTTTCAGAACTAACATTCTGAGGAACTGAGAAATGGGATAAGATCAGAACGAACCCCCTCCCACACCTGTTCCTGATCCTCAGTGTTTTGACCCCGTGGCTGAGCAATGGCGCCCCCTTGGTGGCATCAGCTGCACTGCACAGCCTGCTGAAGTCTGGGGTGGAAGGCGGGTTAACATTGGTACTTACACAGGAGGCTACTAGACAATTAACTCCCGCTTACAGGGTGCCTTAAGTGCAAAGGATGCAAGTGCGGTGGGGTGGTTCTCTTTGCTAATCTAGATCTCTCCACATCATCTGTCTGTGAATCTTAGGGCTGGAAGGGGCCTTGAGGAGCCAGGCTAGTCCATTCCTGCTGCCTCCTCGAGAAGGGTACCCAAACCACCCAGCCAGGCGGTGTGATACCAGGGATCGGCAGCCTCTTCGGCCCTGTGTGCCACCAGTGGGGTGAAACAAAGCCCTCGGGGACCACTGGCAGGCCTAAGACACAGATAGGAGAGAAGGAAGAGGGAACGGGAGGGCAGGAGAGACAGGGAAGAGGGAGAGAGAGAAAGAGAGAGAGAGAGAGAGAGAGAAAAGCAAGAGGTATTGTATACGGTGGGAAAGCCGCCGCGACTGCCGGGGGCTACCTCTGAGACACTCCAACCTCCCAGCAACCGCGTTTGTCTTCGCTGCCTCTGGAGCTTCCCTGGGATCTTCCCCACCACATGCCTGGCACTGATGCGGGCAGGGCAGCCACAGAAACGTGACCCACCATCCCTGCCACAGGGCTTCCTTTGTGGGAAAGCAGCCATGGTGGCCGTCAGTGCCTCAGACAGTCCCCCATCCGCAGGCCTGTTGGGGGGCCCGTCTCATCATCCCTAAGAGCCGAGAAGCACCCTTCTCATGACGGCCTCTCAAGTCCTCAAAGGAAGAATCCAAGTCTAATCTGTTGTGGATGCTGTCTGATTGATATCCAACTCTAACTATCCGAAAACTGGTTTCACCCATAAGAGGGTGAACTCTTTTCCCATGTACTTTTACTAAACAGAGCATTTAATTCACCAAACCAGTCTCTATCCCAACTACACAAGATGCCCATGTCTACTGTGTTCTGCAGACCGTACCAGAGCCCTGGGTGGGTGTCAGGAGACCTGGGTTCTTGTCCCACCTCCACCTGGGACTCACCTTGTGACTTGGACAAGTCACTTCCCCTCTCTAGACCTCAGTTTCCCCATCTGCAAGATAGGGGGAGGGCCTAGGTTTCTCTAAGAGCTCTCCCAGCTCTGGTTGTCTAGGAGTCTATTCCACATGTCTGTGCCACCCTGGCATGACCTGCTGGAGGCTGGGGGTGAGGGGGGATTTACCGCTGGTGACCCACCCCTCTCACATCATCTACACAAATCCTCCCTTCCTCACCTCTCCTTTTCTCTCTGCCTGTTAAGCCCCCTCCTCCTCCTTTCCAGTGTCTTTTGTGCCTTGTCTGTCTCCTGCTCATTCATGTCGTAAAACTTACAGAAACACCTGAAAGCCCTGCTCAGTGTCCCCCGGACCTCAATCCTTGATACTACACAGAACTATTTGCAGACGCTTCCTCGGGGCATTCTACAACCAGCTGGTGAGATTGATGCAAACTGGCAGAGGGTTGTCAAGCCAAGGGGAGTTAAGATGACCCTGCCGAGAACCCACCTCTCCCCTGCCCCAGCCCCCAGCACAGACACAGACACACACACAGGGAGAAGGGTCAGGGGGTGGGCCTCGGATGGTCCATCTCGGGTGACTGAGAGCAGAGAGAGGCTTAAAGGTCATGGTAAGTGAGGCCTCTGAGACCCTTAAACTCGCAATAAGAACCATCTGCTTTTTCTAGCACATCAAAAATACTACCAGAAACTACCTAGCCTTAAGTAGGTAGCAGGGACTTAACGGAGATACTCAGATTATTGACTTTTTTTCTGTAATGTTATGACTGCTCTGGATAAGCCACGGGCGACCTCTTGCGCAGAAGCTCTGGCTGGCAACTCTGAGTGTTTCCAAATACTGGACTTCCTCTAAGGGGACAAGGGCTTTCAACACTTGCACTTTTGGAAGGATGTGGAACTAAGGGATATTTTGTTAGTAACACAATCTCATTCGAAGTTTTCATCTTGCAGAGAAGATAGTCAGAGCTCAGAGAGCTCAAGGTGCTTGCCCAAGATCACACAGCAAGTCAGAGGCAGAACTTTTAGGGGAAAGGGCCAGGGCTTATTAAAGAGGGACAGGATAGATGTGTATAGATTCCACTTTAACCTCCTCCTGCACTTTGGAATCTATACTTCATAGGACTTGAAGATAGCCAGGCAAGGTGGATGTGGTATTATCCCCATTAGCTAGTTTAAACAACTGAGGCACAGAGAGATCTGTAACGTGCCCGAGGTCACACAGGTATCTAGGACTAGAATCCAGGTCTCCTGAATCTTAAGCCAGTGGTCCTCCTTCTTATATCAAAACAAGATGGCAGAATAAGACCAGAGCAGCCACTCAACCCTGCCCCTCCTGACCGATGGCTCCCAGTCCCACTGCCCATGGCCAGCCATGATGATCTACCGTAGCCCGGCTGGCCTCTGAGTCAACGCAGCTGGCCTGTGCCTGGAGCCGCTTACCTGTGTGCTGGACGGCCCCACAGCACGCCGGGGCACCTTGATGTCAAATCCACCTTTGGGGTCCTTCTCCCCTCTCAAGCATGGGTCATTGGGGGGCTCTCGCCCTCCCTCCCAGTCACAGATGGTCTTTCGAATTGCCTGTAGGACACTGGGGAAGGAAGAACTAAGACTCAGACCAGGTCTCACCATGGGAAAAAGACACTACAAGCTTGTGTGTCCAGGGGCCATGGTGTCCCAGGACTACCCACATTTGAATTCTTGGGGTGTTTGTAAAGCATGCTCATTTCTGCCCCCAGTCCAAAACTCTGGTTTAACAGATTTAAGGTACGGTCCAGGAATCTGTGCTTAAACAAGTGTCCTACATGGTTCTGATGTCCAAGGGATGTTTGAGAACTCAGCTCTGAGCCCATCAAGTGAGACAGAACTTGTGTGAGGCAAGATGTCTATTTTTCCTTTCTGGTTATTGGGGAGTCTCATTGGTCTTACGAAATCTGTATGTGCTTAGTTTTCATAATAGCTTAGATGTAGTGCATACCTACTCCATGCTACATGTGCTTAGGTCTATCTGTGGACCATCTCATTTCATCATCCCAACAGGCAGCAGGTGGGGATTATAATAATCCCTATTTTACAAATGAGGAAAACTGAGGTTTGGAGAAGGTCATTAACTTTACCAAGTTCACACAGCTAGACAGCAGTGGATATGGACTTCCAGAGATGAAGGCTTAATTCATCCCAAATGCCCAAACTTCTAAAGAACCCTCTAGAGCTTGCTGGAAGAACCCGTGTGTGTTCAGTGGCTGAGCCAGGACATCCTCTCTGAAGGGTATCTGGCATACTTATGTCTGATATGCTCCCGAAGGTATCTGAAAACCCACCTGATGAGGACGTTCTTCTTCTTCCGTACCGCCTGCCGCAGGGGCTCACGCAGCGTCACCTGGGCGAAGTCCTGCAATGCCGCATAGATGGTGTTCCTGATGGCCTGGTTGAAGACACTCTCCATCCTGCCCATGAGCACCTGCAGGCCTTTGATCATGGCGATCACCTGGGCAGGAACAGGCCAAGGGTCAGGTTCACCATGTCCAGCACACCAGCTCTCTACTACCCATCATCACCTCGCCAGGGGAGGCGGGGAATGGTATCCAGAGGCATAAGGCCAGTGCTACTCAAAGTGCCAGTGCATGGCTAGGTAGGAGACGTGTGCCAGAATGTACGTACATCAGCACTTAGCTTCATTCACTGAGAAAGTCTTGCTACAAAACACAAATGTCAGCTCAACTAACAGCATTCTTCGCAATGTAACTGATTTTCATCCTGGCATGAGCTCCTGATTTTGTTGCTCGCTGCTGACAAATGGCAGCTGGCCCATGGGCCACCATTTGAGCATTTTGAGAAGTGCCCTGGCTTTTGAAGGCCCCTCCATAGACCAGGCATCCACAGACCACATCAAATAGAACTTTTTTAACATAAAATTTTCTAAAGAATTTTTACAACCTTTGTTTTTAAAACCATTTGGCCAGTTACTGCTTGAGTTGATAAGATCAAAATTTCTCCTGCAGAAGTCATGGGGGAGAATGCCTCTACTCCTCTATTTCCCTTCTCCTTACCCTAACTCACTGATCTGTTTGGAGAGATTGGGGTTCAGGCGTGTGTGATGAGAGGAGCCTGACTTGACCTTGGCTCGCTCTTTTGGGACCTGCCTGCCTGCAAGTATGTGGCCTCCCTTCTAGGTTTCTGGCCACTTCTTGTAGCGACCATCCCCTGCCCACCCCGAGGAAGGGAAGCGTGTATCTATGCAGCTGTTTTGCCTATTACCCAGTGGCAAGTTTAATAAGACGTAGGACGCATAGGAAGACTGGTGTGGCGTTGGGTGAAAACCACATTATCTAGTTCAGCTTTACCAGCAGTAAGTCTGAGCCTTTGACTCCACTGGCCTCTAACATTAACTTCTCAATTGATTCAGAATTCAGAGGCAAAGACATGTGGCAGATCATCCACCTCACAACTGCCACACAGATCACACCCATACTGGCATGTTCCACCTTCTACACCAGACTGGAAACACATAGGACAGGGCCCAGCTATGCTGTGCACACCCAACTGCCAGTGTCTGGGCTCATGGTGGGCAGACACATTTTTTGTTGAAAAGGAACAAATAAATGAATGAATGGGCTTAGATCCTAAGCCTGTTTTTTTTTCTCTAAAACTTAAAGGAAGAAAAAGAACATTTTTAGATAGAACTGGTATGAAAACAACTCAGGAGGTGATGGTTTTCAGTGGCACCAACAGTACAACAATTTTGTTGGCGGTAAGTTTTGGTGCAGAGAAATAATGGGAGAGAAGCATTAGAGGACTGTTAGATCATAACAGAATCTGGGCTCCTGGCTACAGATGTAACTAGGAGACATCAGAACAAAGGAAGGAGTAGATAATGAAGATGTCTCAGACTAACTCCAAACACAGAGGAGTGGGCAGGCCTGTTGGATCTAAGGGAAAAATCTTTGCAACTCTAGACAAGGCAAAGATTTCTTAGCTGAAACCCCCAAACCACAAACCACCAAATAACTGATAAACTGGACTTCATCAAAATGTAAAACAGCTGCTCTTCAAAAGGCACCCTTACAAAAATGAAAAGGCAAAGTCACTGATGAGAAAAAATATTTGCGACATATATTTGACTAAAGACTTGTAATCTAAAATATGGAACAAATTCCCACAATTCAGTAATAGGAAGACAGAAACCCAATTTTTAACAAAAATGGGCAAAAGATCTCAATACTTCACAGAGGAAGATATATGAATGGGATCCAAGACAGGACAGAGGTAAAGGGAATTCTCAAGATAATACATAATGAGGAGACTCTTCGATCAGTGGCTGGGCTGGTCTAGAGACAAACCCATGCAGATTGGAAAGAAGAGGGCTTGTGGAAGAATGGCTCCAAGAAAGAAAGAATAATACCAAAACTACTCAAATGATGACGGTGATGGACTATTTTGTAAGGAGTTTTACATTTTGTTGGTATGTTTGGGGTTGACTTTTTGACAGACTCATAGAAAACAAAACAAAAAATAAAGTATTGCTAATTGTATGAAGAACAAAAAGTTGTGCAAGAAAATAAAGGTATTCACATTAGATCATGTGGCTCAGCGATGGACAACAGTTACTTGGTTAAAATAATAATAAGTTAACTATTGATTTTTACCAAAAAGTGTAAAATTACCAAGATGGGAAGATGGGGGAAGGAAACCAGGTGTGTTGCAGGGATGGGAGGAAAAATGGAGAGAGCTGTATCCTCATTTCCCAAAGTAGAAAATCAATACAAAATGTCATAAATTGAAAAACCAAGAAACAGTCTCGTTAGAACTAGGGAGACAAATACTACAAGGAATCGCTTAATAAGTTGAATGGTGTTTCCTATTTGGGGATTCAGATTGGAATGGCATGGTGCAGGCAGGTTACTACTCTCACTTCATTTTATTTTTAAAGGCCACACTGAACTACTTTTCTTTTTAAATTTTTTAAACATGTTTTATTAATGAGATAAAAATGATAAAACCTCTCAATGTATAGCAAAGTAATGACTAGAAGGAAATCAAGTGACATTTTCTTGGTGGTTGTGCTTGGATGATGATATGAGGTTGTGGGAAGGTGAAGGTAGAAGCGGGGTTGGGGTATCATCTTCTAAATCACTTACAGTGCATGCATCCCTTTTATTAAGGAAATAAGTGCAAAAATAGTTTTATAAAGTTGCATTTACCCTCTGACTGTCTCACTTTAAATAGGCTTCAGGATGACTTTGTCCTCTAGAGATGACCGCAAAACTTTCTTCCAGGTTGCCCGTTAGTAATGGAAGTGCCAAGGGGTCTGGGGCCACTCAGGACAATGTCAAGTGTGATTATGATTTTTCTTCTTTCTGAAATTATGCCACCGAGCCTCAGTCCTTTAAAGTGAACTTGGAGAGACAACGATTCTAACCTCTTACATTTGTATGACCCTGTAAGTTTTCAGAGCTCATCTACATTCATTATCTTACTTGACAATTATTGTTTGATTCTCCACAATAACCCTGGGATGGGGCAGGGGAGAAATGATTAGCTCCATTTTACAGATAAGGAATCTGAGGCTCTGAGAGCTGAAGTGACCAGAGGGCCCAGGGCTGGGATCCAGGTCTCTGATTTCTAGATTCATCTCCTGTAGGTTTCAAATGGTCCTCAAAGAAATAGCTGTCACTCACAACCTAGTGTAAAGGAGTTTTCCTCCCAAATAGAAACGTCATTTTGTAATCAAACAAAACACAATACAAAAAGGTATAAATCAGACAGTCCTGTTTCCAGAAATTACTACTGTTCATGGTTTGGTATACATCATAAATATTTATGTCCTTCAGTTTTCCACAAATATATAAAAGTATATTATATTTTGGTATAAGTGGAATCATTTCATATGTTGTTCTGTTTTTGGTCTAAATGTCTATATTTGGAGTTTTATTTTTTATATGTTGATAATATGTATTTAGATATGTTACATATTTCTTTACATATTTAAAAATATCCACATTTATGTGTATATGCATATTTATTTCTAGATATATTTTTGCTCTTCCCTGTATGCATGAAAACTACACATATGCTGTTCTTTAACTATTTCTTTTTTAACTTAACAATATGCTGAGCGTAGCCTTCCATGTAGGTATGTCTTTTTTACTTTTTATTTATTTATTTTTTCTGAGACAGAGTCTCACTCTGTCACCAAGGCTGGAGCGCAGTGGCACAATCTTGGGTCACTACAGCTTCCACCTCCTGGGTTCAAGCGATTCTCCTGCCTCAGCCTCCTCAGTGGCTGGGATTACAGGTGTGTACCACTACGCCTGGCTAAATTGTTTTTGTATTTTTAGTAGAGATGGGGTTTCACCATATTGGTCACGCTGGTCTTGAACTCTTAACCTCAACTGATCGACCCGTCTTAGCCTCCCAAAGTGCTGGGATTACAGGCGTGAGCCATGGTATATCTTTTTTAGAGACTGCACAGTATGCAATGATATACCTGAGTCTTAACTTATTTACCTGGTTCCATATTGAAGAACATTTAAGTTCTTCCATATATTTCGGTATTATAAACAACACTGTGATAAATATCCATGTACATATATCTCTGCACAGTTGGCTTATTTCCTTGGGATATATTCCCAGAAGAAGAACTTGGCCAAAGGGTATGCACATTAAAAACGAGAGTACATATAATCAGATTGCTCTCACAGAAAGCCTATGAAATGTAGACTGACCACTAAAGACATGAGAATGTCTATTTCCTGCAATTTAACCTGCAACAGGCATCACCCAGCTGTCAAATCTCTGCTATCCTGATGGTAAACACTGTATCCCATCTTATTCCAATCTGTAGCTCTTTGACCACTGATCACTTTGGGCATTTTTCATACCTCTTTTAGCCATTTGTGTTTGTTTCTTCTGTTGGTTTCTTTGTGCCCATTTTTCCAGTGGAATGGATGTTTTTCTTTAGATTTTTAAGAACAGAATGAGTTTCTAATCAATTCTGAGTAACAGAATAACTTCTGACAAATTAATTTAGATGGGAGGACAGGGAAGAGCATGCACATTGGGGCAATCAATGTTGTTTTCTTGCTCAGAACTACTCAGGAACCACCATGAGCTACAGCCTCAGGGACAGAGGGAGATGCAGGGAGTCTGCACCTACCTCAACGAAGGCAAATTTTTCCTCACTGGTGTAATTGTAGCGCGTGGCTCTCTCATATTCTTCTGCGGTGCCAGGACAGTCCTTGTTGCAGAACTTGTCTGTGGGATGAACCAGCTTCCAAGAGTACTGGGGAGAGTGAGAACAAACCAAATGTCCATCAACTGATGAACGGACAAACAGAATGTGGAGGATCCACGCAATGGAATATTATTCAGCTGAAAAAAAGGAATAAAGTACTAATTCATGCTACAACATGAAAAACCTTGAAAGTATGCAAAATAAAAGAAGCCTGACACAAAAGGCCACATATCGTATGATTTTATTTATGTGAAACATCCAGAATAGGGAAACCTATAGAGGTAGAAAGCAGATTGCTCAGGGCTAGGGAGATGGGAGGGGAGATAACACAGGGCTTCTTTTTGAAGTGATGAAAATGCTCTAAATTTGACTGTGGTTATACAACTCTGTGGATATACTAAAAACCGACGAACTTACACTTTCAATGGGTGAATGGTATGGCATGTGAACTGTAACTCCATAAATCTGTTAAAAAGAGAGCGCTAGGGGGAGATGGAGGCAGATTCCAAAGAAAGAGAGGTCAGTGTGAGGCCCTCTACCCGGAGACACCTACCACCTCCATGACGTGGGCGCTCCACTTGGATAGAAGCTGCAGACCCCGCAGGGCTAAGTCAAAGAGCTCGCGATACTCCTCGTCTGACTTCTGGCTGTCCAGCCCTGAGCCCGTCACCACCTGGGGAGCATCAAGTATCATACTCACGGTCTATGTGCCTGACACTTTTATATGTTATCTCATTGATTCCCCCCAAGAACACTGCAGGGAAGTGCTATTATTACATCCCCTTGACAGATAAACTGAGGCTCAGACAAGTGTCTTGCTGAAGTGAAGCCCACGTGGTTTATAAATCACTGAAGGTTTGGGTTCAGGTGGTGATGCCAGAGCCCCACTCATAACCACCCTGGAGTATCACAGGGCAGCAATTTTCAAACTCTGACTGCATTCACTGTAGGAAGTGCACACTATATGGTAACTCATGAACATATATCTACATACAGATATTAAATATATGTATGCAACAATTTTTTTTCTTTTAGAGACAGGGTCTCACTGTGTTGCCCAGGCTGGTCTCCTGGGTTCAAGGAATCCTCCTGCCTCAACCTCCCAAAGTGCTGGGATTACAGACGTGAGCCGTCACACAGAGCCTCAACAATATTTTTTACAATGCAATCTTACTCTTAATACATGGGATTCCTTCTGATTTTCTATTCTATACTTAGATAAAAACGCTAATCACAAACACTAAGTTGATTTCACAACTCATCAGACATGACTCACAGATTGAAAGGCAGTGGATAAACATCTATATAATATTCCACAATGATACAGAATATGTACGTATGCACAAACATACTCCGTGTGTGTGTATATGTACATACACACATATACACATACAGCCAGTCCTCCTTATTGGCGGATTCTGTATTTTTGAATTCTCTTACTGGTTAAAATTTATTTGTAACCCCAAAATCAACACTCATGGTGGTTTCTAAGTCATTTGCAGACATGCACCCATTCCCAGCTGAAGTCGGACAAAGTGACTCTGCCTTGTTTCAGCTCTCATATGGTAAACAAGTGTCTTTTTTGAAGTCTACTTAGTGCCATGTTTTCTGTATTTTTGTGCTTTTAACTCCAACTGCTCAATTTAAAATGGCCCTCAAGCTTAGGGCTAATGTGCTATATAGTGTTCCTCTGTGCAAGAAAGCTGTAACATGCCTTATGGAAAAAAAAAATACGTGTTCTAGATCGGCTTTGTTCAGGTCATGAGCTAATGAATCAAGAGTAGAGATCACATCAAGTGTCTTCAAACAGAAGCACGTATAAAACAAGGTTATATAACGATCAGTTGATGAAAATGTTGTGACCAGAGGCTCACAGAGCTGTAACTCTGATTTCTTCTTGGGGCAATGATTTAGTATTTGCTACTTCAGAGTTCATGACCACTTTACAGAACTCCTGTGAATAACGAGAATCAACATGTATAGAGCATATAATTTAAAAAAATTTCTTTGGCCAGACTCATTCTTAGACCACACCAAAATGTGAATAGGAATTAAGAGCTCTGGCAGGGGGCAGTGGCTCATGCCTGTAATCCCAGCACCCGGGGAGGCTGAGGCAGGAGAATCATTTGAGTTCAGGAGTACAAGACCAGCCCAGGCAACATAATGAGATCCTTCCTCTATTTTTAAAAAAGAAACAACATATTAAAAAAAATTTTTTTAAAGAACTCTAGCACTCAAAATAAGTTATTCCTGTAACTTCAGTTCAACTGATTGGTACATATGTTTAGAAAGTTAAAGGTCTGGGCTTGTCCTTGGTCCCTGTGGGCCACAAGTCTAAAGACTACAAGTCATGGTCTAATGGCCACAACTCCTTGCATTTGTCAGACTGTCCCCATTTCAGGTACGTTGCTCTGTGATCAAAGGCATCTCCTGAGTTGGGGTTTGTAAAGCAGAGTCACCATGGCTGTTAGCCACATGGTGGAAGCAGTGAGCGTATGTGCACAGTCACCCACGAGTGCTATGTAATAAAGGAATCTGAGTCAGGGGATCAGTGTTTATCAAACAGCATATTCATGTGTTAGGAGGTTATGCATGGGATGAGAACCAGAAGAACATATACATCCAAATACCAATCTTCGTTGGTTCTGGGATGGTAGGATTTTATGTGATTTTCTCTCCTTTTGCTTATTTGTGTTCTTTCCTGAGGTTTGTGCACGGATCATGTCTCCATTAAAAAAAAAAAAAAAGTTTTAAAAAAGGAAAAATTAAGTGAAATGTAATTATTGGCATTAGTGGAAATTTTTATGACCTTCATCTGCCCTTAAGTATATTAGTGATTTTTTTTTACAATGATAATTTATGGCTGTGTAGTTTAAAAACATTTAGGTAATGTTATGAGTATGAGTGTTCTGTTTTCTTGCCATCCAGCGTGGCGATGGTTTGCATCACTTACCACGTACAGGCAGAACTAACCATCACCATGCCTTTATTATCCGCCATATCTTTTAATCCTCTCAATGAACCTTTCAGGATAGATACTGTTATCACCCTCATTTCACAGATGAGGAAATTGAAGCAGAGAGATGTTGAATAACTTGCAAAGGGCAGCAGTACCACTGGAATTCACCCCAGTCTGCTTGGCTCTAAAACCCTTGCTGTTGGCCACTTTACCCTCCTGCCTCCCTCCTACTCTCTAGTGTTCCGTGGATCCACGTTCTTTCCTGGCTGCTCCTTACCCCTTCTGGCCCTGGGCCCATGGGCCTGCTTCCTAGCAGCCTGTGTGCTCACCTCACTGTTGCTGTAGCGAGCAAGCTCGGAGATGAAGCGGATGTGGTCATCCCGGATCTGAACCATCTGCTCACAGATATTGTACTGGGGGCTGATGCTGCTCTGGGTGCACGTCCACCTGGGTAGAAAATTACGGGGTCGGAGAGGGTCCCAGCCTCAGGTGCCTGGATGGGACAGGCATTAGCTGCTCCTGGTGCTCAGCCCACATGGCCAACTCCCCTGGGTGACACCAAATGGTATCCCAGCTGCCTCAGCAAGAGAGCCTGCTAACTCCAACACTGTGGGAGCTTCAGGCCTAGTGGAACAGTCCTTCCTCCTCCTCCTCCTCCTCCTCCTCCTCCTTGAGGCTGGCCTCATCTAGGACCCAACTGCAGGCCTTTCCAGATACCTGGTCCATAATACTTACCAGTAATGTGAGAAGGGAGGGAAGACAGCGTCTCTAGGGCTACAAAGGGGTGGAATCCAAGCATAGAAAAAGCAAGGTGGGCAACCTCCAAAACCAGCCTACCCACTCTGACAGCACGCTCTGCAGTTGAAGCTGGCTTTGGGGGGCCTTTGGGCTGAGATTGTGGAAATCTGAATGTGACTGTGCCTCTTTTCCAACAGTGCCCTGGCAACATGGAAGCACATGTGGTGCGGGAAGCCAGGGTCACTCTGAGACATGGGAGTGGCCCCTCCCTCCACCCACCCCCTCTACCTTTTGCCCCCTTCTCTCCTTCTCTCTCCACTCTCTTTCCTCCTTCCCTCCGCCTCTTTTCCACTCCTTGTGAAAAGATGTCATTAGGAAAACCATCCTAAGTCAGAGAGGAAATGAATGAATGAACATCTTCACTCTCCATGCCCAAGAGAAAAACCACCACCCCTTCTTCTACCCTCAGGTGCTGGTGACCCAGCAGACAGACGAAGCACAAGCACCAGACAAGGCAGAAAAAAGATTCTAGGGAGAATTTAGTACTTCAAAAGGAGCCCTGACATGCCCCTCATAAGAATGGCAGAACAGTGACAGCCTTTCTCAGGCCTCCCTTCAGTATCACTCAGAGAGTTACCTGTGGAGAGGGGAGCACCTGGCCCCTCACACCCCGCCCCCGTCACTCCCCCAGCCTCTGCTCCCAGCCAGCTTCAGTGGGTTGGGAAGTCAGGCAGGGAAGTGAGGAATGAGTTCAGCATTCTCCATTCCCTGCTTTTCCTGCAAACCCCCTCACGCGCTAACAGCTAGAGGGTGATGAAGCGACTACGTGAGCTTTCCTTCGGACACTCATTTGCAGAGGCTCCAGGCAGATGCAGTTCAAGGACACTCCATTTATATCTTTTTAAGATGCCAATACACTCACCCTTGACTAAAGGATAGCTGGTTCCCCTCTGTGTGGAAAAGTCACAACTCTGGGTGAGAAGCACACAGAAGGAACCTCCCTAACAGCCTCAGAGACCAAAGGGGCAGCCGAGGTTGGAGCCCCCCAACTTCAGTGAGGCACTGACACCCCAGGCCTTTGCATAGATGACCTAGAATTGTGGTTTATAAAGTGGCCGAAGGTGAGGCTGCCCACCCAATTCACGACTCCACGATGGACTTAGCACACGGTCATCTAACCTGAGAGAATCAGCATGAGGAGGAACAACGCCACCTCTCCTCACCGGACCACTGAGGGCTGGCCACTCCTCCAGAGGAGGAGCTGGACTTCTGCTGTCCTGCTGCAAGGACGTGCGAGTCACTGCTGGGCTGGACAAGGGGCGTGGCTGTGCTCTGAGCCCTTTTGAACCTGGCAGCAAAGGGCGGATACAAAAGGGCTCAGAGCACCCTCGCGGCTCCCCTCCGGCCGGCGCCTGTATTCTGATGGAATCCACCTGCCCAGGACTCTGGGGAGGGAGGAGGGGCTGAAGTGGCCCCTCGGCTCCCTGCCCGGGCTGGGCATCCTTGCGGGAGCCGAGAGACATTACGGCAGGCACTCACTTGGACTTGTTCTCTTCATAGTGAGCACTGGTCTTAATGTATCTGGCCAGCTCTATCTGCATGTCGCCGAAAAGGGGCACCACCTGCAGCTGCTGCAAAGGAAGCAAACACAGCTCGTGAGATGCTGAGGAGGGGCTGGGGCGGCTGCCTTTGCTGCCACCCCACCGGGGAAGGCACGCCTCTGTGTATGCCTGGGGGTCGACCCCTAGTTTCTGCTTCCAATGATGCTACCATGTGACTCTGAAGCCAAAAGGAACCCTAGTCATGTATAGGTCCTCCCCTGCCTCCAACCAACTCTATGTTCTAGGCAATGGAGCCCAGAGAGGCAAAGTGACTTGTCCAAGGTCATTCAGCCAACAGCATGGGTGAAGGCCAAGGACTGGATGGATGGCTGCCCAGTGCAGGGTCCTTTCCGCTCCAATCTTCCCTGGCTTAAAGCATCCTTGCTGCTATGAATTCTGGGCTAGAAGCAGGTGTCTGAGTGCTGTTAGTCTTCCTGAGAAAGTCTGTACTTTCAAAGCAATTAAAACCATAGTAATACCTAACACCAGAGGGCAGACAACTCCAGACCAAAAACCAAGGCAAATGGCCGGGAGGCTGGTATTTATCGTGTGCTTCTCATGCACTAGGTACTATGACAAACACTTTGAAAACAGTATCTCAAGCCATACAAGAGCCCTGTGAAGCCTGTACTATCATTCCCATTTCAGAGAAGAAACCGAAGTTTAAACAGCTTAAGTGATTTTTCACAAAGTCAGACCAGCTAGAAGTCAAGAAGCCAGGATTATACAACCCAGGGCTCTGAGTCATCTATTGTAGCCCCACTGAATCCTCCAGGGAACCCTACAGAGCCCATACCCTTGGTATTCACATTTTTCAGACTTGGAACTCAGTTTCAGAGTGATTTAGCGACTTTCCCAAAGTCATCCAGCTATTAAGTGGCAGAGTCAGACTTATACCCAGGCCTGCCAAGGGAGAGGTTGTATTCTCTTTCTTCGACCCTCATCTCATTCATGCTGACTTAGGAAAGATTTTGCAAGGGTCTCCCAAAATGAGCCCTATTTTCATTTGGGGCAACTCTAGAGAAAAGTAAAAGTTCCACCCTTGAAAACAAGCAAAGCCAAGGCACAGGATTCCTCTTAGTGACTTATGTTCCTTTTCCTTAACCTTGAAGAGTCAGTGGGACTCAGGCCCAATCTAGTGCCCTGCATGTCACACCACTAAGGAATTTTGCTGTGGATATTGATCTGGGCTTTCCCATGTCTGACCTCTCAGGCTTGCTCCATGCCCGCAGTGCCCAATGCTAGAATAAATAGAGAACATGGGAAGTTAATTCCAAAGTGTAAGATTCCTCTGCAAAATTCTAAGAGGCTTAGTTTAACTGCAAATTTCTAAAGATCTGGAGCCAAAAGATCAACTCTCAGAGGCACTGAAACAGAGTGAGTAGATGACGGACGTTGCTGAGGCATTCTATCCAGAGGTAAGGGCAAGCTGAGGTGGCCCCTGGTGTACCAGGTGAGAGGCTGTGATTTTACAAATGTGAACCAATTTAAAATGCAGTCTTTAATCATTCTACTTCTGCGAGCTCTGATTTATACTGGAAATTAGAGCAGGTGCTGTCTTCTGGGATGCACCTCTTTAAGTGACAAGGGACTTCAGGAAAAAAAAAAAAAAAAGCAGCATTCAAAAAGCAGCATAGGGCCTCCTCCTAGCCAAATCCCAGCTGAATCCTGAAACTTGGAACTATGTGTGGCTTTCATGCAACAGCCTTCTAGGGCATAAATGCCTCCATCGATGGCAGCTGGAGGCCCTGCTGTTCTATTCTCTCCCTCTTCCTACTCTTGGGATCTTTGGAGCTACAGCTCAATTAAAAAAACCTGACAGTTTTCTGGCTAATTTCATCCCTTTCCCCCAAAGACATCTGAGCTCTGGTAACCTCAGCCCTCTGCCCAGCCCCAGCCCCAGTTGCTGACCTTAAAGAATTTATCAATTTTGCTAAGATTAATTCTCTTCTTGGCATCCAGTTTGTAAATGTTACTGACATTTCCATCCATTAGGTAGAGGCCAAAGCCCATCACCTAGAATGAGAAGGGGGCACAGCATAGAAACTAATCACATCCGCTGGAAAAGTTTAAAAACAAAAACGTAAGTCTGTATATGTCCTACACACACACACACACACACACCCGGTAGAGACGCACATTATATTATAAACACCTATGCATCTTCAAATAAAGGCAGGAAATAGAAGTCTAATTTCAACCAGAAATTTAGTGTATTACTATGGCAGCTACTTCTTCAGCCCTTACTATGGGCCTGAGTCTGTGCTCAGAGCGTTAATAAGCATTATTTTCTCAAGTCAAGTTCTCTGCAATAACCTTATTCTACAGATGAGGAATCAGAGACACAAGGAGGTTAGACAGCTCGCTAAGGCCACACAGCTAAGCAGCAGAGACAGGAGCTGAACAGAATCTGTTGACATTTCCGCATTTAGATCTTTCTGAGAGGAAGGGCTGCTCCTAGCTCCTTGCCGTATCCCAGGGTGTGGCACAACACAGGCATCGGATGAATACTTGAACAGGTAGTGAATGTGAAAGTATCCACCTCTTTCTCCACAGAAAGGACAATGTAAAGGTCTCCAAGAGTTGCTGGTGACTTTAATTTTAAAAAAAAACTTCCTGAATTTGCCCTCTGAGTGGGTTGACATTCTTGATTCCAACCCTTCTAACAGTTTCTTGAATGCTGGCTTGGCTTGTTTTGCTCCTTTTAAAATGTATGCAGAAGGGGACCTGAGCAGCTGTGTGACGGTGAGAAAGTCACTTCTCTCTGCGCCTCTATTTCTCATCTGACATGAACAGGATGCAGCAGGGTACTGCTAGGGTTGCTTCCCCTGTGGGTGCATTTACTGTTTTTTTTTTTGAGATGGTCTCACTCTGTTCCCCCACCACCCCACCCAAGCTGGAGTGCAGTGATATGATCACGGCTCACTGCAGCCTCAACCGACTGGGCTCAAGCGATTCTCTTACCTCAGCCTCCTGAGAAGCTGTGACTACAGATGCACGCCACTGTTGGCTAATTTTTGTATTTGTCTATAAGGATGGTGGTTCCACTGTGTTGTCTCAAACTCCTGGGCTCAAGTGATCCTTCTACCTTGGCCTCCCAAAGCGCTAGGATTACAGCTTTGTGGGTAATCCTCTGTGGGTATAATTTGTTCTGCAGAATGAACTTCATCCTTTTCTGCGTAAGAGCAGACAGTGTCCGATGGTGGCATCTGAGTTCACTAATACAAACTACCCATGTGGCAAAATCATATGAAGGCCAGATTGAAGAGGGCGGGGAACAGAGAGGGAAGAAGGCAGGGAAGTCCGGGTGTGGAACTCCAGAGAATGTGAAAGCCGCATTAAGACTACTTGGTGGGCTGACAGGTAGCGACTTAGCTTGTGGAAAGTTACAGCAACCGCCCAGGCAGAGCACCAGGGGTGAGAGGGGTGTGTGAACTGTGACTGGCTTCTCTGGATTTCTGACGGTTGGGAGGAAGCCAGGGTGAACAAATCTCAAAGCCACCCAGCCCTGCAAACTTAACTGAGGTACTAAGACATGTAAGACAGGAGCACCAACACGGGGCTGGGATTCTCAGAATAGCAGGAGAGACACTGAAGGAGAAAAAAAAGGAAAACCCACCAGAATGTTGAGAGGTGAGGATCTGGGACAGAATCAAAAGGGGCTCTGCAGCGTGTATAAAGAATGGGAGAAGGCTGTTCATGTCAGTGCTACAACTGTGAGGTATCAGTTAGAGACAACCTAAGCTAACAACGGAATAATGGCTAAGGAAGGCTCACGGAAATCACATTACTTCACAGCAGCATAACATCGCCAAATAAATTTAGTCACATGAGATAAAATGGATACATGGTCATGCAGATTGCAAATTCTGAAAATATATACGCATAGCAAAAAACTTAGAAGGACATACATAAAAGTGCTGAAAGTAGGCCAGGCACAGTGGGTCATGTACGTAATCCCAGCACTTTTGGAGGCTGAGGTGGGCAGATTGCTTGAGCCCAGGAGTTCAAGACCAGCCTGGCCAACATAGGAAGACCTTGATTCTACAAAAAATTGTTTTAAAAAAATAGCTGAGTGAGGTGGCATGTGCCTATAGTCCCAGCTACTCAGGAAGCTCAGGTGGGAGGATCGCTCGAGCCTGGGAGTTAGAGGCTGCAGTGAACTATGACTGTGCCACTGCACTCCAGCCTGAGAGACAGAATGAGACTCCACCTTGGAAAAGAAAATGCTAAAAGTGTTAACTCTTGGTGAAGAGATTGTGAGAGATTTAAATTTTTTTATGCTTTGCTGTATATTCCAGATTTTTCAAAACAATAAATATGACAATTTTGGAATGAAACATGTAAACTGATGAAACAATTGTGATCACTTTGGCAAAATGTAGCAAAAGCTTGAAGATTTATTTTGTTTTCTAGTATGGAGATTCCTTAAAGAACTAAAAGCAGAATTACCATTTGATCCAGCAATCCTACTACTGGGTGTCTATCCAGAGGAAAAGAAGTTATTGTATGAAAAAGACACTTGCGCACATGTTTCCCTAGCAGCACAATTCACAATTGCAAAAATATAGAACCAACCTAAATGCCCATCAACCAACAAGCAGATAAAGAAAATGTGTTCTATATACACATCATGAAATACTACTAAGCCATAAAAAGGAACAAAATAATGGCATTCACAGCAACCTGGATGGAGTTGGAGGCTATTATTCTAAGTTAAGTAACGCAGGAACGAAAAAACAGAATGTTGTATATTCTCATTTATAAGTCGGAGCTAAGCTATGAGGGTGCCCAGGCATAAGAATGATATAATAGACTTTGGAGAATTGGGGAAAAAGCAGGGAGGTGGGTGAGGGACTACACTTTGGGTACAGCGTACACTGCTTGTGTGACAGGTGCACCAAAATCTCAGAAATTACCAGCAAAGAACTTTTCCATGCCACAAAAAAACACCTGGCTCCCCAAAAACTATTGAAATAAAAAAAAAAGATTTATTCTGTTTTTCCCTTTGAGCCAGCAAATCCTCTTCTAGGAAGTTGGCCTTGACAAAAAGATGTGCACAAAAACTGCTACAAGGGTGTTCAATGAAGTTTAGCAAACAAATATGCAACCACAGGGGATATGTTACACGACAATGTTCCAAAACAATGGAATACTTGGCAGTCATTAAACATAACATTGTAGAAATAGCCTTAATGACATCTGGAAAGGTGACTATGGTATATTATACTACAGGAAAGGAACAGGTTACAAACCATTCTGTGCAGTAAGATCTGTATCAATGTTTAAGAAAAAAAGAAACATTGTTTTTTAAAAAGGATTTTTAATAAGAAGAAGGTGAGAGGGTAAGCCCAGGCCCCATGGGTGTGGCCTCAAGGGAGTTTTACCTTGAGAAGCATGTGTTTCTCACTGGGGGTCAGGTACATCTTGTTCTCGTAGTAATCCACGCAGATATTGACAATGTCAGCCAGCAGCTCCTCATAGCCTGGGATCACTTCCAGTTGCTGGTGGAGACACTGAACAGCAGCGCCACCCTCAGGTTAGGCAGCGCATGTATCCTGTGCCCTCACCTGCACCCCTGCAGAAGGCCCACAGCTGGCAGGTGTGGTCCCCACTGATGGCCAGGAATCACAGCTCCAGGGAGGGCAGCCTGCATGCCAGCTGGCACCTGATGCCTGAATCCTCTCCTCGATGTCCCCACAGTACTCCTGTACACCTCCCATGGCAAGGAACTCATCCCCCTATTTAATTCCCCGGCATTTCTGATGGTTAGAAAGTGCTTTCCTGGCCTGAGCTAAAAAGCAGCTCAGTTTTACAGCAATAGGCTTCTTGTCATTTCAGCTCAGCTTGGAGGACGTGGGTCTATCTAGGATGTCTTCTCAGACAATGGCAGCAAAACCCCACCCGGGGGAGGAGAGCTGGTGGTGGGGAGTGGGGCAGGTGTCTCCCTCCTGGCAGGACACAGCAGAAAAACATCTATTAGAGAAGGGTCTGAGGTCCCCACTCCAGGCCCTTTCTCTCCAAAGGGACCAACCAAGACCCTGCAGGGTATGCAGAGGAGGACACTGCTGGTACTTCCCACAGGCAAGAGAAAGAAAACCTGAGGCCTCAGTGACTGAACAGCTTTCTGCAGTTAACAAAGAGTGGCAAGGGCCCTGTCAACCCAAGGGCCTCTGTGATATGGATTTGAGCGTGAATACCCTTGGAAGATGGAGGATCCCCTCAGTTTTGTCCTGAGTCCTGCAGACATTCTTGCTAGAGCCTGTTTAGGCTGAAGTGACAGAAAGCAAGACAAGTGACACTTGTCTTGCTTATGTTGGGCAAAATGGGAAAATGGCAGCTGAGGGGAGTGCCCTGGCAAACCAGTGGCAGCAATAACGATGTCTTCCTAGGCCCCGAACATCTGTCAGGATCTGCATGCTAAGGACTTTTCACATACTGGTATCATTTATTTCTCACAACAGTCCTATGAGATGGGTTCTCATAATATTCTCAAAATAACAGACCCATTTTACAGATGAGGAAACTGAGGCTTAGACTGGCCCCAGGTCTTACAGAGTGGGTCAGTGGTGGTCTAGGATTAGAAAACAAGGCTGCCTAACTCCAGACCCCATGTTCTCAACCCTGATGCAGGGTCAGAGCACTGGCTGAGAGAGCTTCACGAGAATGACAACTGGAGAGGGTGAATGGGCCACCTGGGGTTGGGAGGAGAGATTTAAGTCCTCAGCTGCATTTCACTCTCACAGAGGGCAGCGGAGACGGAAGCTGCAGACCGAGCTTGTCTGCTTGGGCTCGTGGTCCACCCAACCTCTACATGCCTGCCTGAAACCCCGAGATACCAGGTCAGGCCTAACAAGGAGTCTGCCCTCACCTGGGTGATCCTGTTGTGGTTGGCCAGGAACATGGAAAGGTTCTGCGACTCCTGGATAGACTGGGGATCCGCCATCTTCCGCAGGAACTGTGCTGCCCTGAAACATAGATAGTGGGCGCTGCAGAGAGGACTGTCCAGGCACAACAGCCTAAACCATGCCTCACGGGCTCCCATGCCCACCTAACCCAGAGTGACACCATCCTGGAAGTTAAAGAGCTCTGAATATCCCAGGCAATGCTAATGTCGAAACAGAGTGTGCTCTGAAGTCATTTGCTTTGGGGCTGTCTACACCCTTGTAATAAGGACCCCTTAAATTAAAAGGCGGGAATGTACTAAAAAATCTCTGAAATCTCAGATAGTTTAAGGGGAACTAGCATCCCATCAACCAGCCAGGAGTGGTGAAACAGGGAGTAAAATGATATCCTTGTACCCTCCTGTGACCTCCAGTGAGGCTGCATGGTAAGTTATGGAGAAGCAGCGCAGGTCGGTTGCTAGAATGCACTTGTTGTGTATTCCATTATTTATAGGAAAACTTCAACATTTCCAAAGCAAAGCATTGTATAGAAAACAGAAGTCTATGGAACCTCACAGAATTGCAGGTGATGGGATGATGGGCACAGGGAACACAAGCAGGACTTGATGGGAGAAAGCTGCGGCTGCCTGACTTCCCAGCCTAACCTGGAGATGGTGCCACCTGTGTCATCACGAACTGTGAAAACAGACAAGACACCCCGTCTTGCTCATGACCTAGCTGGGCTGCAGAGAATCTCATTTGCGGCCATGACAGAAGCAGTCTGGCTGCCGCTGGGGAAAATTTGGTAGAATATATTATGCAATAAGCTACCTATAAAAAGCACTTTGGGAGGCCAAGGCAGGCGGATCACAAGGTCAGGAGTTCGAGACCAGCCTGGCCAATATGGTGAAACCTTGTCTCTACTAAAAATACAAAACTTAGCCAGGCACGGTGGCGGGCGCCTGTAGTCCTAGCTACTCTGGAGGCTGAGGCAGGAGAATCGCTTGAACCTGACAGACAGAGGTTGCGATTGCACATTGCACTCCAGCCTGGGTGACAGAGTGAGACTCCATCTCAAAAAAAACAAAACAAAACAAAACAAAAAAACTTTGTAAAGTTGTCAACTTCTAAGCCAGCCTTGAGACGGGGCCCTGCCTGCTGGACAGCACCAGATGTCACAGCTGACTCAGGAAGGTAAACTTGTGAGAATCAGACTGTTTTCTCTGGTTACCTTGCAGCCCAAGATGCCTTTATCAGAGGTACAGCAAATCCTTCTCAAGAGACTTCTGGGTGGCTGTATACTGGTTTCTGGAATGACTCCTCCCTTACTTTCAGTCCTTTTTGTTTATTTGTTTTAATTAAAAAAGAGAGATGGGGTCTCACTATGTTTCCCAGGCTGGTCTCGAACTCCTGGGCTTAAGTGATGGGCCTGCCGTGGCCTCCCAAAGCGCTAGGATTACAGGTGTGAGACACCTCTCCTGGCTAATCTTTTTAAGAGCTGGCGGAGACCCTGAACTCCAAAGGCGAGCAACCATCCCATCAGCGTATCCCCACCTCTACACCTCCAGTGACTGACAGGAGGTTTAGCATATGACTCAAGCTGAATCAAAGGCAATCCTCCCTGGGAGGATATTCAGAGTTCCAAATACTAATTTGGAAGAAGCAGCATCCCGTCCTTCCTTAGAAGCTGGGGTTGCTGCACTGGCCTGAGGAAAGCTGCTGGAAGACTCCACGGACCTGAGAATGAAGCCAATGTAGAGGAGGAGGTCGAACTGAGAGCTGGAGGCACCCAGGTTAACATCATCATCTGAGTGCCTGCGTGCAGGTGTGCCTGGACTTTCTGTGAGCCAATTCATTTCCTTCTTTTACATACACTGTTTGAATTGGCTTTATGATTCTTGCAGAAAATGACTAATGTAACCATTCTGTGATGATCTTACTGGTTCCATATTACATGGGGCAACGTAAAATGCTGCTGCTCCACAGATGGGGGAATGAGGATTTGATTCTATCTTGAGACATAAAACTCTTCAAAGATCAAGTTCTTCCAAGGCCCAGCTCTATGCCCTGTTCCTCAAACCACATTGAATCAGGCCGAGCCCTGCTGTGTTTGGGGGATGGCTAGTTTGGTACCAAAGAAAGAGCAGGTGAGAGGGGCTCCATCCTCTTCCTCCACTTGGCAGGCAGCCCTGGAGGAGGAGCCCGGCTGGGGAAAGGGAGAGGGGGAGGTTGCCCTGACCTTTTGTAGGCAGAGTGGTCATTCTTGACGCTGCACTTCATGTTCTTTAGCTCATCTAGGACAGCAAACATGTTGATGAACTTGCCCAGGGTCAGGAGGTAGGCCTCAGAGACAAAGTCCTTCCTGCGCTCGGCGTGGCACAGCCGCTTCACCTCGCTGCAGAACCGCTCGATGGCCTTGCGCTGGGGGCAGAGGGGCAGCGAGTAAGGTCCCCTGGGGCGGCTCACTGTGCTCCCTTGTAGGGGCAGGGTCCAGGTTCCTCTAGGGCCCTCCTTAAAGCCAGCCCTCTGGAGAAAGGCAAATCTGCCAGGCAAATTTTCTCAGAGGAGTCCTTAAATCCAAAGATGATTTCTAGAGGGGAGCCTGGAACCTGCCCCCAAGTGATTCAAATCAATGCATTCATTCAACATACATTGGCTGAGCATTATGTCTTATTCATTTTGGCATTCTCAGCACGTAGGACAGTGTCAGAAACCAGTCAATATGGTGGTAGAGACCAAGAGTGAGAGAGAAATACAGAGAGAAAAAGAGGTTCATTCATCCAGTAGCTATTTAACGGCCATCTACTATGTGCCAGGCACCATTCTAGGTCCTGGGGCAGAGCAGGAAACAAAAGAGAAAAGCAGACAAACAAGGAAATTCTGCCTTCAGGAGCTTACATTCTAGTTTTTTTGTTTGTTTGTTTTTTGAGACTGAGTTTCACTGTTACCCAGGCTGGAGTGCAGGGTCGCGATCTCGGCTCACTGCAACCTCCACCTCTCGGGCTCAAGTGATTCTCCCGCCTAAGCCTCCCGAGTAGCTGAGATTACAGGCATGCACCACTATGCCCAGCTAATTTTTTGTATTTTTAGTAGAGACTGGGTTTCACCATGTTGGCCAGGCTGGTCTTGAACTCCTGACCTCAAATGATCTGCCTGCCTCAGCCTCCCAAAGTGCTGGGATTACAGGTGTGAGCCACCATGCCCGGCCTAGAAGTTTACATTCTAGTGAGAGAAGACAGAAAACAATGCATAGATCTATTAGAACGTGGTATGTGCTATGGAGAAAAACAAAGCAGGAAAGCTTGAGGAGAAGGGCTCAGAGGGGTTCTCCTTCTAAGGAAGAAGATCAGAGACGGAATCCTCAAGAAGTGACTTTCAGGAAAAGAAGCTGAAAGAGGAGGAAGAAGAGGCATATGGGGTAACTTAATGGTCAGTGTGAAGGCCCTGAGGCATATTCCAGGGATGGGAAGGAAGCCAGGGTGGCTGAACTGGAGTGAGTGCACCAGGAGACAGAGAGATGGGGTCAGGGCACTGGCTCTTGTAGGCCTTTGTGAGGGCTTGGGCTTGGGCACTGCATGAGTTGGGGAGACATGGGAGGTTCTGAGGCCAGATAACATGGCCTGAATTATATTTTAAAAGAGTCCCATTGGCTGCTGTGGGGAGAACAGACTCTAGGGTGCAAAGATAAAAGTGAGAGAATAGTTAAGGGGGTATTTAAAGGCTTAAAGGTGGGGTTACCATCTGACCCAACAATTCCACTCCTAGGTCTCTACTTGAGAGACATGAAAACATATGTCCACACAAAAACTTGTACATGAATGATCAACGTTTCTTCATCCTAGCCCCAAAGTGGAAATAAACCAAAGTCCATCAACTGATGAATGGATAAATAAAATATGGTACATCCATACAATGGAATAGTATTCAGTCCTGAAAAGGAATGAAATTCTGACACATGCTGTAACATGGATGACCCTTAAAAACATCACACTAACTGAAAAGAGCCAGATGGACACAAAAGACCACACATATGATTCAGTTTATATGAAATGTCCAGAATAGGCAAATCCATGGAGGCATAAAGTAGCCTAGTGTTTGCCTCGGGCTGGGATGTGGGCGGAGATGAGGGTATTATGGGGTGACGGCCAAAGGGTGTGGGATTTCTTTTTGGGGTAATGAAGATGTTCTAAAATTGATTGTGGGCCAGGTGTGATGGCTCACGTCTGTAATCCCAGAACTTTGGGAGACCAAGGCAGGTGGATCATTTGAGGTCAGGAGTTTGAGACCAGCCTGGCCAACATGGAGAAACCCCATATCTACTAAAAAAAAAAAAAAAAAAAAATACAAAATTAGCTGAGTGTGGTAGCACACACCCGTGGTCCCAGCTACTCAGGAGGGACGTGGAGGCAGGAGAATCACTTGAAACCAGCAGGCTGAAGTTGCAGTGAGCCAAGCCAGTGTCACTGCACTTCAGCCTGGGCGACAGAGCAAGACTCTGTCTCAAAAATAAACAAATAAATAAAACTGACTGCGGTGATGGATGCACAATTCTGTGAATATATTAAAAACTGCTAAATTATCCACTTTAAGTGGGCAAATTATATGGAATGTGTTAAGTATATGTCTATAAAACTGGTACCATACATTTTAAAAGGCAGTTGAACAGCAACAACAAAACGAGGCTACTGTAGTAACCCAGAAAGAACAAGAAAGAAAGAGGAGGAAGAAAAGGAAAGCAGGGAAGGAAGGGGAAAGAGAAACGATGGCTCCGCTTGAGCTCCACTCCGCTTCCATAGGCCTGAGAGGCCCAACCAGCCAGTCCGTCCTTTCCTTCAAAGACTAAGTCACACTTTCTCCTTCCAGAGTCTAAGTCCAACTATACTCTGCGAGGATGAAAATGGTCCATATATGCACTGTCCAATACGACAGCCACCATCACACAAGGCCACTCAGCACTTGCAATGTGCCTAGGATTACTGAGGAACTGAATTTTTCATAGTGTCTCGTTTCATTTTTTTCCAACCTACCTCATGTTTTGATTTTAAAATTTTTTTTTTACTCATGTTTAGCTTTTAATCTTTATGTTTTTCATGTTGTCACTTTTTAATTAAGGTAAGTACCCACATGTGGCTAATGGCTATGGCACTAGACAGCATAGTTCTAAATTATTCCAGATCCTCCCTTCTGTAAATACCTCTCGTCAGGGGACTCTCAGTTTCACACTCAATCAGTTTCTGGATAGTTCTTCTCTCCTGGCCCTGCCTTCCCAAAAAGATTTTGGGCTCCCGAAGGCAGGTCCATGATGCTAACAGCCGCTGCAATTTGTGAAACCTACTCTGACCAGGGTCCCACTTGGCTCTTTACAAACAGACCTCATTTATTCTCACCATAAACCTGTGAAGCGGGTCATTTTCAAGGTGAACAACCCCAAGGTGTCAGAGACATTAAATAACTCACAAGCACACAGTTCGAGAGTGAAAGGGCCAGGATGTGACTTGGGCTTCTCTGCCTCCAAAGGCCATGCTCCCCGCCCAGGCTGCATACCCACACCCCACCTTCCCATTTCCCTCACACCCAGGCCCTTCATTTTATTTCTTAAACACAGCAAGCTCCTTCCAGCCTCAGCCTCAAGGCTTTTGCCTCTGTGATACCTTCTGCCTGAAACCCTTTCCTCCTGGTCACCACAGGTCAGTCTCTCTCTCTATACTCTCAGCTCAAATGCCACCTCCTGAGAGGCTGTCCCTAAAGCAGCACCCACATCACAGGCACACCCAAAATTTTTCAAAATGTTATTTTACTCAGAGAATTTATTACTCCCTGAATATTAATGTGTATTGCTTATTGTCTGTCTCTCCTCGTACACAAAACACACTCACATACTCACTAGGATGAAAATCACGAGGGCGGGGAGACTCATCTGTCTTGCTCACTCAGGGGTGTGTAAGGCACAGTTAAAAAACATTTGCTGAGTGAATAAATACCATGGCAAAAAAAACTGCAGATCCCAATGATTAGAAGACTAGAGGCTTTTTCAGTTCTCCAGATGCAGACCTGCCCCTCCCCACTCACCTGAAAATACATGAACTTCATGAGCTTGGTGACCTCCGGCTCCAGCACCTCCACTGTCTTCTCATAGATCTCTACTCGGTTGGGCTGCTCGTTGCATTTCACCTGTGGGGGATGGTAGGGGCACACACATCCTGGTTTGCCCAGGCAGTCCTGGTTCACACCTGTTGTTTTCTTACTGTTTTTTGTTTTGTTTCGTTTTGTTTTTGAGACAGGGTCTTGCTCTGTCATCCAGACTAGAGGGCAGTGTCATGATCATGGCTCACTGAAACCTCAACCTCCCAGGCTCAAGTGATCCTCCCAACTCAGCCTCCCAAGTAGGTGGGACTTCAGGCATGCACCACCACATCCAGCGAATTTTTATAGTTTGTGTAGGGATGGCGTCTCACTATGTTGCCCAAGCTGGTCTTGAACTCCTGGGCTCAAGCAATCCTCCCACCTCAGCCTCTCAAATTGCTGGGATTAAAAGCATGAGCCACCATGTGCGGCCCTGTGGTCTTATTAATAGGGCTCTTTTTCACTCTCAAATATACCTGATTTTGGGTGATAACTGATCTGCTCATCCCAGTGAGAGGAGATTTGGGTAGCCCCTGCTTCACCAGGATGGCAGGGGGCAGAAATGCTCCCCAGACACTGGCTGCAGGAAAGGAAACAGTTCGTCCCAAGAACAAAACCCTCCTTCCTTTTTCTCAGTTCTGTGCCCTGTCCGTGAGCTACTGACATGTTCATGTTGATCTGCAAGCTCTCCCTCCTTCAGTCTTTCCCCTGTCCCCACTCCAGCAGGGTCCAGCTGCATTCTAAGCAGAGAGAAATGTTCTTTCCATTGTTCTGGATACACCTGGGACAAAGCTCCCGTAGGCCTACCCAGGCCCATTTCCCCTGCTCTGCAGTTTTCACCAGTGTGCACATCAGAAACCCATGGCAGACATCCTCACAACGCACACGCCAAGACTGCTAATGGATACACGGGATCTGAAGAGTGAGCCAAGGTAAGCACAGGGACATTCTTCACACTATTGCTTAGAAAGTCTTACAATGGCAGCATCATGCTAAATATCCACCAGTTGACAATTAAGTGGATAAAATATGCTACAATCACATAATATCACTGTGAGCTGTTAGAAGGAATGAGACAATTCTATGTAACCAGGAAACAAAGTCACCATAAACAGGCGAAAAAAGTGACAGAATAGTCAGGTCCCATTTTTGTTAAGTGAAACAAGACAGCATGTTTGCTCATATATAAGACAGGCATAGAAAATCTGAAAGGATGCAAACCAAACTATTAATAGTAGTTATTGCTGGGGCCTAGAATTAGGAGGAAGGGGGAGGAATAGTTTCTCTTTACACACCTGTGGCTTGCTGACTTTGTTGCCATAGGACCTGCTAATTATATGCTGATAGCATTGATGGTAATAAAAATATCTGTATGTGTCAACATGAAAAAAGTCAGTAATTAAGAATTAAGTGGGGAAAAACGCAAGTGGCAGAACAATATAAACATGAAATAATACATTTTTGTAAATAATAATTTACAAAATAATATCACACCAGGAAAAAGATCCAGAAGAGTATGTCACAAAGTGTACATAGCCATCCTATGGCGGGAGGTGGGTTTGAGTGGTTGGGATGAGGCAGTGGGAACATCTCGCTTTTTACTTCATACCCTCTGCAGTGGTTTTGGTGTCATGTAGTTACCATATACTGCTTTGGAAATAAAATATATTGAACAAATGTGTTTTCAGTCCCTCGACATGGGTCCCTGTCATCACTTTTATGGGAAGCTCTCTGAATGTCCTCCAGGTTCTTCCTTGGATAAGAGGACCTGCTTTACTCCCTACCATGTGGAAAAAAAAAAAAAAGCTCAGCTCTCTGGTTTGGGGATGAAGTTGGGGTTAGTAATGTCCTCTGGAGGGGAAAGAGACACACAGCAAGGACAGTCTCACCTGGGGAATGGCCCGGGAACAGCTGCGCCAGGTGTACAGCATGACCGCATACTCATGTCCTTCCTCCAGCATCTCATTCTGAAATGGTAAAACAGCCTCAGCAGGGAAGAACCAGATGGGTGCCACCAGGCTTCAAAAGCCCCCAGGTCCTCACTGCTTATGGAATGGTCCATGGACCCACAGCATGGACATCACCTGGGGACCTTACTGGAAATGCAGAATCTCAGGCCCCTCCCTGGGCCTACGCAGTAAGAATCTGCATTTCAACAAAATTCCCAGGTGACTCACATACACAATGAGTTTGAGAAGAACTCATCCTCAGGCCACATTTTCCCAAACAGATGGATGGCTACCTTAGAAAGAATGGGGCAGACCTATGCGCCACCCAGATATAACATTAGCAAGAAAATAAGCAAGCAGCAAAACAGTATGTACAGCAGATAGGTTAAAAAACAAAACAGAAATAGTTATGAAAGTATATTATCAAAACTGCCTTTGCAAAGATTATGACAGTGAGAGAAATCTGACATAGCTGATGCCATCTTGCTTCTAACCTCCAAACTGTCCTTGGTCATTCCTGGATGCAGGCTAAGCTAACTTTGGGAGGAATTTCGTTGACATTTAACCTTAAAGCAAGGAAGATAACAGCCCTTTCTAAAACTAAACTGCCTTTGTAAAACTAATGAAAGTTCACAAGGTTAGGATTACGAGAGGTGCGTGAATTCTGCTTAAGATGTAGGCATACTTTCCATAATACCTTACTACTTAGGAGTCATGTGGCCGGAGGTCACAAGATTTGGGACTTCCCCAACTGCTCTTACTAATACCAACACTATTGTAGAATGTAAGATTGGTCTTTTGAGAAGTTCTTCAGACTGACTCCACCTGGACTTTTGGGACTCGACTGGTCCAATGGCCCCCACCCAGAGGCAGCCTCAGCACATGAAGCTTGTTTTCTACACTCCATGACTGCATCCCCAATCAATCAGCGCCCATTTCCTAGCCCCATGCCCACCAAACCATCCTGGAAAAAAGTCTAACCTCCACGCTTTTGAGGAGACTGATTTGCATAGTAACTCTGTCTCCTTTGTGAGCAGCCTCATATTGATTAAACTCTTTCTTTACTGCAATACCACTGTCTCAGTGAGTTGGTTTTGTCTGCCGTGGACAGGAAAAACCCATCAGGTGATTACATTATTATGTACTGAAATAATTTTCAGTGCAACATGCACCAAGCTATGAATAGCAAGCGCTCTGTGGGGCTGGATTGTTTTGCATCACTTTTTAAAAAGTCTTACAGCACTATAATGCTCACACTTTTATAAGAGCCCATGTACTATCTCATAAGCAGGAAAATGATTAATATCAATTTTTAATAATAAGCAGAGCAGATGGGAAAACCGACAACAGCATGAAAAACTAATGTGAAAAAATACAGTGATGACTCATCTCACTGAGGAAGTGTTACTGTGGAAAGAGACCTAAACTCAAGGTCCAAATATCTGGGCTCAAGGCTGGGCGTGGTGGCTCACACCTGTACTCCTAGCATTTTGAAAGGCTAAGGCGGGTGGATCACCTGAGGTGAGGAGTTCAAGATGAGCCTGCCAAAATGGCAAAACCCCGTCTCTACTAAAAATACAAAAATTAGCCAGGTGTGGTGGTGGGCACCTGCAATTTCAGCTACTCGGGAGGCTGAGGCAGGAGAATTGCATGAGCCCGGGAGGCATAGGCTGCAGTGAGCTTAGATTGCACCACTGCACTCACAGCCTGGGTGACTTCGCCTCAAACATACATACATACATAAACATGTGGGCTAAAATACCAGCTTCATCACTTATTAGCCCTTTAGTCTACTGTAAATCACTTATCCTAAAATTCTCCACTTAGTCATCTGTTAAATCACGATAATAATAATCTCATAGAATTTTATGAGAATTAAATGGAACATACACACATACTCTTGGTAATCTATGAAGTGAGTCAGGACAGTAATCTGGCAGTGTTACAACGCGTTAACCACAGATTTACCATTCGACCCAGTAACTCCTCGGTATGTGTATACCCAAGAGTACTGAAAACAAATATCCACACAGAAAAATGTGTAGATTCAAGATTTGCAAGTAACACAAATATTCATAGCAGCATTATTCAAAATAGCTCAATAACCTGAGTGTGCATCAACGGATGGATGGATAAATAAAATGTGGCATATTCATACAATTAATTATTTGGCAAAACAAAGTAATGAACTACTGATACACGCTGCCACATGGATGAACTCTGAAAACAGTATGCTGGTCAGGCATGGTGGCTCACGTCTGTAATACCAGCACTTTGGGAGGCCGAGGCAGGCGGATCACCTGAGGTCGGGAGTTCGAGGCCAGCCTGATGAACATGGAGAAACCCCGTTTCTACTAAAAATACAAAATTAGCCAGGCGTGGTGGTGCATGCCTGTAATCCCAGCTACTTGGGAGGCTGAGGCAGGAGAATCGCTTGAACCCAGGAGGTGGAGGTTGCAGTGAGCCAAGATCATGCCATTGCACTCCAGCCTGGGCAACAAGAGTAAAACTCTGTCTCAAAAAAAGAAAGAAAAGAAAAGAAAAGAAGAGGAGAGGAGAGGAGAGGAGAGGAGAGGAGAGGAGAGGAGAGGAGAGGAGAGGGAGAGAAAACATTATGCTAAGTAAAAGAAGCCAGACACAAAAGGTCCCATATTGGATTATTTATTTAGATGAAAATAGGCAAATCCATAGAAACAGAAAGCATATTAGTGACTGCCAGGAGGTGGGGGGGTGAGAGGAATTGGGATTGATTGCTAACAGGTCCAGGGTATCTTTTAGGGGTGATGAAAATTAGGTAGTAGCCATGGCTGTATAACATTGTGAATATGCTAAAAACTACTGAATTGTACACTTTAAATGGAAATACACCTTGAAAAAAAAGTCAACAAAAAAAAGAATTTTACTAGGCCATCTCTTTTTATAAATGTTTGTATCTATGTTAAAAAATGAACTTCAGGTCGGGCGTGTTGGCTTATGCCTGTAATCCCAGCACTTTGGGAGGCCGAGACGGGCAGATCATGAGGTTAGGAGATCGAGACCATCCTGGCTAACACGATGAAACCCTGCCTCTACTAAAAATACAAAAAATTAGCCGGGCATGGTGGCAGGCATCTGTAGTCCCAGCCACTCGGGAGGCTGAGGCAGGAGAATGGCATGAACCTGGGAGGCGGAGCTTGCAGTGAGCAGAGATCGCGCCACTGCACTCCAGCCTGGGTGACAGAGCAAGACTCCATCTCAAAATAAATAAATACATAAAATAAATAAACAAAGAACTTTATTTTAAAATCCACATATCACCATTTCATAATATCTTATTAGTACAACAGCAGATTAATTTACCTATGACAGTTCTGTTTTCAACAGCAAATGTCATTGCCAAGTCACACTTTCAATGATTAATTTAGAGAACTTTGAAAATCAGTAACATGTTGTCCTTGAGAACAGGGAGAGCCAATCAAGCCTGTGGGTCCCGCAGTCATCTGCCTCAGAACACATGTCAAAAAGGGGAAGTGACAGTCAGTCATGTAAGGAACATGTGTCTACTTTTAGCACTGAACTGCCTGCCAACAGGTGTAATTCCAACTCATGCATTCAGTGAATGTTTAACTGGGTACTCACGGGTCCCAGGCTCTGTGCTTTGTGCTGCGAACAGCGCAGTGAACAAGAAGAATGTGAACTCTGCCCTACGGACAGTTTGGCCATCAGCCAGATCTGTCATATAATTATGCTGGAATGTAGAGGTTAGGATTATGTGGTGGAAAGAGCCCTGAGTGGGGAAACTTGAGTACTGGTCCTCACTCTTCTTGGGCCCATCTTTTAATTTTTAATGTCTTAGTTTCTTTACTTGGAGGTAAAGAGTTGGCCTGAATCATTGGTTGAATCTCTAATTCAACCCTGGTTGTACATTAGAGTTACCTGGGGAACTTTGATGCCTAAGCCAGGCCCCAAACTAACTAAATATTTATCCCTGGGGATGGGGTGGGACACTGGTGTTTTTTTTTAACAATCCCCAGGTTGATTCTCTTGTGTAGCCCACATTGACAGCTTCAGGACTAAGGATCTCTAAAGTCCTTTGCATTTCTAATATTCTGAAAGTCCACGACTTAAACCCAATGTGAGTCTGGCTCAAATTTTCTGTAGTGACAGATTCAGTGATCACTCAGCCCCCATCTGACCCCCAGCAAAGAACCTTCAACTCTTCCATAGAGTTGGTCAGTTATGTGGTTTGCGCACTTCCCCTCCTCTCTTCTCTGGTTATCCTGCCCTTTGAGAGATTCACCTTGCCCAAGTAGGGGCAGGAGACATACAAGAAGATGAGCATCTCATATGCCCACATTGCTGCCGAGAAGCTACCCCAGAAAGACTGGGAAAGGCATGAGGAGGACACTGTTGACCGAAGGGAGATTTTGATGTTATCCGGGAATGTCAGCATCGCATGCCACTCATGACTCATGCCTAAGCCACATCAACACTCTCCCTGTGTAGGCAGAATAATGGTCCCCCAAAGAGGTCTGTACCCTAATCCCTGGTGCCTGTGAATATGTTCCTTCACAGGGAAAGAGGGAGTTTACAGATGTGATTAAGTTAAGAGCCTTGCAATGTGGGTAGCGGGGTGGTGGTGGTAATTCTGGATTATCCTGGGGAGCCCAGTGTAAACACAAGGTACTCATAAGCAAAAGAGGGAGGCAGAAGAGTCAGAGGAGATTTGAAGATGCAGGCAGAGATCAGAGTGACGTCACTGCTGGCTGGGGGCCACGAGACAAGGAATGTAGACACCTCTAGAAGCTGGAAAAGTCAAGGGAACAGACTTTCCCCTGGAGCCTGCAGAAGGAATGTGGCACCCTGATTTTAACTCAGTAAGACCCATGTCAGACTTCTGACCTGACAGAACTGTGAGCAAATAAATCAGTGTTGTTCTAAGCCACTAAGTTTGTGACACTCTGTTAGGGCAGCAACAGAAAATGAACACCATCACCCTCTAACCTAGCCCCTCCTTCCGACTGCCCTGTTGGTGACCTGACCTGGTCTTCCTGGGAACTCAGTCAGTGCAGTTCCAGCTGACTGCTAAGCCAGTGTCCCTCACATCCACATCCTCTTAGCTCTACCCCAGTGCCATCACCCTCATTTGACCTTGAATACCTGCAGTGTAGATAACTTTAATTATCTTGACAAATTTATTTGCCCCATTCCTACTTGCAACTCATTCTACATATAACTAACACATGGAACCTGTCCCCCAAACAGAGTTCTGTCACATCTCTTCTAAGGATAAAGATTTTCCATTGCTTTTAATTTTTTATTAAATAAACTAAAGCCTTCTGTTATGGGCTAGACTGTGTGCCCCCCAGATTTATATGTTGAAGCCCTAACCCCACAGGACCTCAGAATGTGACTGTATTTGGAGATAGGGCCTTTAAAGAGGTAATTAAGTTAAAATGAGGCCATTAGAGAGGGCCCTGATCCAATCTGACTGGTGTCCTTATAAAAAGAGGAAATTCGGACACACAGAAAGAAGGTGCCAGTGATGTGTGCACAGAGAAGAGACCACGTGAGGATGCAGAGAGAAGCAGCCATCTGGAAGCCAAGGAAAGAAACCTCAGGAAAAACCAAACCTACGGACACCCTGATCTTGGACTTCTAACCTCCAGAATGGGGAGAAAATACATTTTTACTGTTTAAGCCACCTCGTCTGTAGCACTTTGTTATGGTACCCAAGCAAATGAATACACCCTCCATGCCCCAACACTTTATTTGTAGGGAATCTATAAACAATATCCCTATATGTACTTTACAGTCCAAACCAGTCACTCCTTAAAAATCCTTGCCCTGTGCCTTTGCTCACACTGGCTCTTCCACATGCTGTGCTCTCCCCATCTCATCTCTGACTGGTAAAATTCTAACTGTGTGAGACAGCATGGAACAGGAGAAAGAGATCAGGACTGGGAGTCAGTCCTGGATTTCAGGTCCAGTCCTGTGATTTACTAGTTGTGAGATCATGAGCAACCTGCTTATTAACTTTTCTAGGCCTCAGTTTTCTCATCCCTAAAATGGACATAATGATCACTTTGCAAGTCACAGGGCTGTTATAAAGCCCCAATAATATAATATATGAAAATGCCTTACATATATTTTAAAGTATACTGTGTCTATAAGGTATCATTATCCTCCTACAAGGCCTCACACAAAAGCCACTTCCTTCATCAAGCTTTCTCTGACTCTCTCAAGGTTCCTTCAAAAACACAGAACTTTGAACTTTTATCATGACATTTACCCCTAACTTCGCACATTTTTGTTTGTCTGCAAGGCATAGTCTGGAGCAAAGGTTTTGTAGTCAGAAAGACCTTGATCTAGAGCTGTCACTTGTCAGCTGCAGGACCCTGAGTAAGTTACGTAATTTTTCTGGGCTCCAGTTTTCCCCATCTGCAAAATGGATATGACAATAGAACCTACCTCACAGGGTTGATGTGAGGAGCAAATGAGACAATGCATCTAAAATATCTGTATAGAAAAGGCATTCAATAAATGGTAAGTTTGTCAATTTCCCACTTGACTCACTGAGGATCAGGAGTGGCTCCTATCTGTCCTTGCATCTCTCTCCAGCATTTACACAGTCCTCTGTGGGCACCAGCGACACAATACTTATTGAATGAATGAGCAGGGTTTGTCAACCCAAGGTTACGGGAAAATAACTGATACAGTGCTATGGTTGGAGTGTGTTCCTCAAAGTTCATGTGTTAGAAACTTAAACCTCCAGTGCAACAGTGTTGAGAGGTGAGAACTTAAGAGGTGATCAGGTCACGAGGGCTCTACCCCCATGAAAGAATTAATGCTGTTATTACGGGGGTGGGTTCCTTATAAAGGATGAGTTTGGCCCCCTTCCCTCTCTCTCCTACCCACGTCATGCCTTCTGCCATGGCATGACGCAATAAGAAGGCTCTCACTGGATACTGTCCCCTCAATCTTGGACTTTCCAGCCTCCGTAACCATGAGTCAATAAACTACTACTCTTGTGTTTTTTGAGATAGGGTCTTGCTCTGTTGCTCAGGCTGGAGTGCAGTGGCATGATCACAGGTCACTGCAGCCTCAACCTCCTGGGCTCAAGCGATCCTCCCACCTGAGCCTCCCACGTAGCTGCAACTATAGGTGTGCACCACCTCATCCAGCTAATTTTTAAATTTTTTGTAGAGACAGGGTCTTGCCATGTTGCCCAGGCTGGTCTCGAACTCCTGAGCTCAGGGGATCCTCCTGCCTCAGCCTCCCAAAGTGCTGAGGTTAGGGGCATGAGCTACTGTACCCGGCCTAAGCTTCTACTTATTATAAATTACCCAGTCTGCAGTTTCCTTGTTATAGCATCACAAAACGAGCTAAGACATATAGTGTCAAAGGTCTATGGAGCCACAGGCAGGGTCTATGGAGCCACAGGCAGGGTCTATGAACACAGAATTTGGAATTCTTTAAATTGCAGTGCTGCATGAGAATAAAAGCAATGGAAGCCCAATAGAGAAGGGGAGGAGCCCTCCACAGATGAATCAGACTCTAAGAGAGAAAATAAGAACTAACCCTATTTGCACGTGATTTAGGTCATCAGCTTTTTTGAGTAACTGTTACTCCAAAACCAAAGCCAATGTCCCTTTTTCAAGGAACCTTTTGCTTTGCTCGAGACAAAATTCCACACATTCATTAACCTGTAAACAAGGCAGGATCCAATCACATGTTAACCCAAAAAGCTATAGGAGCTCAGGGAAGTGAGTAGTGGAGACTCAGTTGGGCCCTAACAGTTAAGGAGTATTCACAAAGCCAGACGATAAAGGGGAACAGTATGTTTCTAGGCACGGAGAGGGGATGGGGCAGAATGTAAGAGTGGGCTTAAGCAGATGCTTCTGACTGAGGAAGGGGGTTCTTAGAGTAGGTGTGCACACGCCTCTGGCGTGAGAAGCTGCCCACGACCCCTGCCAGCCCAGCAGGGAGCATGTCTGCACATGTGGATCACAGAGACTTACCATGCTGGAGTGAACTGTAGCCTGCTCAATGTACCTTGCAATGCCCGTGACAAATGCATTTCTGTCTTCGAAGTTCGTGTCAAAGTTAGCCTGTGGAATTAGAGGACAGGAACACTTTGGTTGTTAGAAAACAGTTCCCAGTTGGCTGGGCATCCAGGGAGCAAACTGCTGCCGACAAACAATGCAAGTTCTCTGTGGGGACCTCCTGCTGCATCACCTTTCATCTTGCCCCTTCCCCACAAAGTCCTACTCTCAATCACACTGGGCAGGAGCTGGCGATGACAGGGCCCGCCATCTGCTTCCCATCAGTAATCAGGTTCACTCGGCTGAGCTTAAGAAGCAGATGCTTAAATTCCACAAGCCCAAATAGCTGCTAAAAGTTAAGATGGGCATTGCTTTGATTAGGCAGTTCCAGAAATACTCACCCAAGGGTGTGGATATATAGGTACAAGAATAATCACTGTGGCAGTTTTTTGTGATTTAAAAAAACTATAAACAACCCAAATGTCCAGCAACAGTGAAAGGCTAAATATATATATATATATATATATATATATATATATATATATATATATA